AAAATAGAGAAGAACGAGGACAAAAGTGAAACTTAATTGTGAAAACCTATTTCTACTGAAATAACACGTGACCCTTTCATTGAAGAGTTCCAGGGCCCAATTCACAACAATTTATAATTTTCAATTACGGGTTTTCTGTAAAGGTGAATAGCGTATTTATGCAGCAGAGACAATGTAGGAAACCGAGATAGTTTTCAACTTTTTAAATAAAGGGTTAAATAGTACCGTTGTGAATTGAGCATGTATCGCCTTCAATTGAAGAACTCTTGAAATTAGTTAAACTGATCACTAAACCTTTAACTATTTAACGTTACGAGATACTAATTGATTAATTAGAGAAATCTCATTGTCACAAAATAATCTTAACCTTGTCCTTCCGCTTTTATAAATTTCCATTCATCCATTCATAAACTTAGTTTTTTATTAATCTATTCATAAACTTAGTTTTTCATTAATTCATTCATAAACTTAGTTTTTCATTAATCCATTCATAAACTTAGTTTTTTATTAATCCATTTTCATTAACTTAGTTTTTTAATAATCCATTCATAAACTTAGTTTTTCATTAATCCATTCATAAACTTAGTTTTTCATTAATCCATTCATAAACTTCGTTTTTATTAATTCATTCATAAACTTAGTTTTTTTTTAATTCATTCATAAACTTAGTTTTTCATTAATCCATTCATAAACTTAGTTTTTAATTAATCCATTCATAAACTTAGTTTTTCATTAAATCTTTTCTTAAACTCAGTTTTCATTAATATATTCATAAACTTTGTTTTTTTTTTATTAATCCATTCTTAAACTTAGTTTTTTATAAATCCATTCATAAACTTAGTTTTTCAATAATCCATTCTTAAACTTAGTTTTTTATAAATCCATTCATGAACTTAGTTCTTCAATAATCCATTCTTAAACTTAGTTTTTTATTAATCAATTCATAAACTTAGTTTTTCAATAATCCATTCATAAACTTAGTTTTTCATTAATCCATTCTTAAACTTAGTTTTTTATAAATCCATTTTTAAATTTTTAATCAAACCATAAAATGCATTGTCTTTTATCAATTTACTATTCCCAGTTCAGAAAATAAAATAAGTTTATTTTCTCTTTCTTTCTTTTCCTAGATTGTATCTAAATTATTAATTATTATCAGTGTCGTCTTATTTCCCTTTTGAATTCATCACTTATGCCCCTTTTCAAGAAACACATTGTATATAAATATTAGATATGTTAGAATTAGTTTCCGGATTGTGAAATCCAGGTTTACGGGTTTCCCCAAACCCATCATGAACCTTGCACGAATAAATCAATTATTCATAATTAAAGGGACTGGTTAATGTTCAACTATTTGAAAATATACATATAACCACATTTTTTTAATAAAGAACAATTAATATCTGTTTACAGAGCAAACGAGATTTTACCAGAAAAATCGGGTTCCTTATAATTTTTTTGTATCTTTTATTAAAGTTACAAGTTTTATTTTATATCAGATGTGTTGACTTACTGAATAGAGAGTGGGGTTGAAGAATTCGTAACTTCAGAACAGTTTGTATGTTTGTAAAAAAAATTTTAAAATGAGAAGATATTAAAGATAGATACCCTCCAAACACATGTACTTATTTATCAAATATAAATAGTGCTGAATAAAAGCAAAAAGTAATATTTACATTTTTATAAATTTTTGTGTATTTTCAAAAAGGTGAACGGTCCCTTTAATAATTAATCAAATTTCTGTTTATTAAACACAAAATGTATAATTTACCTGACACAATTTAGAAAATAAAATGAAAAATGTTTTTTTCTAGAAAAGCGTTCTTAGAAAAATATCTTGAACAACAACATCATTATTTTTGACAAAACAATAAAGCTGAAAGTAAATTAATAAGAAATGCAATCCTTTATGTATTGTGTAAAATGACGGAAGTAGATATTTAAGGTTAAAATTCAATGCCGTGCGTAGGAACCAAAATTTAATTCTAAAGTAAAGAGTTTTATGGGAGTGTTTACTTAATAGTTTTTACAAAACAGGGTGGATAGATCTTAATAGTTTATTTATTTGCAGTAGGTCCATTGGTGCAGCTCTGTATTCTACTATTTATTTTCAGTAGGTCCAACGATGTAGCCCTGTATTCTAACATTTTTTCAGTAGGTCCCTTCATGTAGGGCTGTATTGTTATCTTAATCTTAGTGGGTCCCTTGATGTAAGCCTGTATTTTTATACTCATTTTTAGTAGGTCCCTTGATACAGCTCTGTATTTTAATATTTATTTGGCTGACAAATATTGGTTTTAATTCAAGGTCTCAGAGTGACGCATTTCATTTAATATTTATACAAAAATCACATTTACATTGGTTTAACTACCGGGGTGGGAGGGTTGCTCAATATATTTAATTTATTGCTTCTTTAACTTAATCATGAAAACAGACACCTAGAGAACTATTGTATATTATAAAGAAAACAAATTGGAGATATTCCTTGTTTCAAGAATCAGGGTAAACGGTACTGCATACGCATTACGCATACTTACAAGTGAACCTTCGCAGAGCTAGGGAACGAGAAATTACAAAAGATTCATTTAATTGCTTCCATCCCACAAGTGACAATTACTATGCTTCCTAATACTCTGCTTTTACTGTTCACGATGATATTGTTTGCAGCTATTCATTCTCTTCTTTATTTTATTTCAGCTTTTATTTGACAACATCATGAAGTATATTTCGCAAGCTCGAACTTTCGAATCCCTTTATCTTTTAAACCTGATAGTTGGAAATATCTAAGGACCACGACACTGTGTTTTAAAAGATATTTAAATTAAAAATTTTGAATTGGTACAGTGATAACCAGAAGACAATGGAAAAGGAAGACGGCATTATGACAATACTTAAGTGTATTTGATGTTGTTACAGGGAAACTAGTTTTGGGAGATACTTATCAAGAAAGTTACAGGGTATGTTTACACGTAATGCTCAAGTGCTCTGTCTCATGTATTTCATGAGTCATATTCATTGGACTGTTTAAAGTCATAACTCAAGTGTCTAAAAGTCGTCTTCATATTTCAGTGATTTCTGGTTATCTCTTTATCATGACATCTTACCCAAATATCTAAATATTCTATGCTTTATTCTCAGCTTTAAATACCATGCTTACAATGAAACCATGATAAGTTGGAGAGATTAAATTGAAACTTGTCAAGAATATTATGTAATTAATATTTGAACAGGAATACACCGTCTAATCGGTTAAATTCAACAATTTTGAAATAGAACAAGTGTTCTAATATATTTTCAAGATGTTTAGTTACAATGTTTAGAAACATAGATACAATATAGCATATTTAGTATAATTATAGTAGTTTCTTGGTAAATAATTTCCTTGTAAATAGTTTCTTGGTAAATAGTTTACTGGTAAATAGGTTCCTGGTAAATAGTTTCCTAGTAAATAGTTTCCTGGTAAATAGTTTCCTAGAAAATAGTTTCCTGGTAAATAGTTTCTTGGTAAATAGCTTCCTGGTAAGTAGTTCTTGGTAAATAGCTTCCTGGTAAATAGTTTCCTGATAAATAGCTTCCTGGTAAATAATTTCCTGGTAAATAGTTTCCTTGCCATGCATGACCGTATTTTCTGTTAATATCACGGGAAATATCTACGCAAATAATGCTTTTCATAATAAGTCCTTTGAAATAAATGTTTTTGCAGTCGGCATGAATAAAATATTTACAAAAAGTTTTGACATAAAAAAATTACTGAATTAAAAAAAATTATAGATTTTTCATATGTTTCATATTTGGGTTTTATATCGTCCTTATTTCCAAATAAAAACCACACGCATTTTAAACAAATTTATTTTGAATTTAAGTGTACACATGCTTTTACTAGGTAGATGATAATGCCCCCCCCCCCCCCCTCTATAAATATTGTTGAAACCCTGTATTTCAGGGTTATCTAATCCCTCGCTCTCTGTAAACCTATCTAACTATCTAGCAATGGGAGACGGGAAATCAACGCTTAGTTGCTGTCATACACTCATACCATGCTCACTGTTACCGGCATTAATAGTAGCAGTAGCAGGAGTTGTAATATTGTAATCAGTAGAAGTTGTAGTAGTAGTAGTAGTAGTAATAGTAGTAGTAGTAGTAGTAGTAGTAGTAGTAGTAGTAGTTGTAGTAGTTGTAGTAGAAGCAGTAGTAGAATTAGTAGTTATATTTGTTGTAGTAGTAGGAGTAGTAGTAGAAGAATAAGTAGTTGTAGTAGTAGTAGTAGTGGTATTAGCAGCGTAGCGTTGCCCAGGTTACTCATAGTAACTCCCGCTGTTTACCCGCGCTTAGTCTTAAATTCAGAGTTAACTAATTTTCCTCATAAAAGTCGATACACTCAATTTCGAATCTTAAAATATCGTCGAGAACATTCCCGTGGTTCTCCCAAGTTCCCCAATTACCTAATTTTGTTTTATGTTTTTACTAGCGAGATGTTATTGATACACAACACCCAAGTTGTTTATGAACAGCTGTTAAATTCTTTTATTTAATCTCCTTAGAGCAAACAACCTAAAAAAATATTTGATAAACCATCAACTGTCAAAATAGAAAAACAATATACAGTAACGGATTCAAAATATATTTTTTACAATATTGCAATGTTAAAATTACCAAAAAAGAAAAAATAATACAAAAGTGGTTTGCGTAAAATGTATAAATTGACATTCATATAATCCATGTTTATTGTATAAAATACATGATATGTATATCTACATGTTTATTGTATAAAATATATGATATATATCTACATGTTTATTGTATAAAATATATGATATATATATACATGTTTATTGTATAAAATATATGATACATATAAATCTACATGTCGCTTTTTTCTCGACCAGTTATTTTTACTTCCTTGTTGGGAAATATCAAACAATAGAAGATGGAGGGGGGGGGGGGAGGGGTTGAGGGGAAAAGGGGAGGAATGTTGGATTATAAAATTTGAATATTTTAGAAAATTCAAATGAATAAGTAACGTTAGATAACAAGAGGAAGGTGCAGGAGATCAATTAATTAAACAAGGAATAAATCAATCCAATAACAGGTAACAGACACACTTAACTTATTTTAAAAATGGCAAGTTTGAAAAATAGTCCTTCTCTGTTTGTAAAGTCATGTTTGTAAATTTGCAACCTCCCCTCCTTCCTCTATTTCTAAAGCAAAATATAAAAGAAATTTTTAACTTGGCAAATATTAATCAGGTCTTATAATACTCGACCTTACTAGTTCTTCCTGGTTTAACGGTCAGAGAGGATAATATAAATATTAAAGTTATAGATTCATAAAAGGTGTAGAAACATTTCAAGAAAACATTTTAGAAGACATATTTTTACTAATTGTACTTATTATTCGTTCATTTCATAAAAATGTAAAATGTATTCAACCAATGTCAAATGTTCATCTATAAATTTCTTCTCTTAAAATGTTCCTGGAAAATACTAAATGTATTGTATTAAATTCTAAAAATCACATTATTAAATATATTTAGAGTTGTCGTATTAAGTAGACGTTTCATTAAAACACTCCGATAAACTCTGTAATTGGTTTATCCTCTATGGCCAAGGATAAACCAATTAAAACTGAAAATATCTTACATTGTTCATATATTTAATCCAGACCTTCATCATTCTATTCATTCCACTTCTCCTTTTCATCCTACTCCTTCTATTCATCCTACTCCTCCTTTTCATCCTACTCCTTCTATTCATCCTGCTCCTTCTATTCATCCTACTTCTTCTATTCATCCTACTCCTTCTATTCATCCTACTCCTTCTATTCATCCTACTCCTTCTGTTCATCCTACTCTTTCTATTCATCCTGTTCCTTCTATTAATCCTACTCCTTCTATTCATCCCACTTCTCCTTTTCATCCTACTCCTTCTATTCATCCTACTCCTTCTATTCATCCTACTCCTTCTATTCATTCTACTCCTTCTATTCATCCTACTCCTTCTATTCATTCTACTCCTTCTATTCATCCTACTCCTTCTATTCATTCTACTCATTCTATTCATCCCACTTCTCCTTTTCATCCTACTCCTTCTATTCATCCTACTCCTCCTTTTAATCCAACTGCGCTTTTTCATCCTACTTCTACTATTAAACCCATTCTTTCTTTTCACCCTCCTATTCATCCTACTACTACTAGTCATCCTTCTCCTTCTTTTCGTCCCGCTCCTTTTATTCATCCTATTTATTCCATTCATCCTACTCCATATATTCATCCTGCTCCTTCTATTTATCCCACTCCTTCTATTCATCCTACTCCTTCTATTCATTATAATCATTTTATTCATCCTACTCCTCTTATTCATCCTGATTATTTTATTCATTCTACTCCTCTTAATCATTTTATTCATTCTACTTCTTATCTTATATATTATTCTTTTTTCTCATTCATTTCTTCCTAGCTCAGCATTTCCATCCATCTTTTCCTGCTTCTTTGCGTTAAATATTTTTTACTTTCTTTCTCATCATTAATGTTTTTCCTTGGTCTGCTGTATACTATGCATGAATAGCAAATTCTATATTTTCCACTTGTACTTTAAGTTTAAATCCTATTTTACATTTTGCCCCGACCATGCAGAGTAAGAACAAGTTTGCCCTAATTGTATTTTGTTTGTTTCAGATATCCAAGAGATGCCGTTCAAGGCTGAATCTCAGGTAGCATAATCATAGAATTCATTGTATTTTATATACATACATAGCAATGTAGTAATATGGTAATGGGGGAAATAAACCGAATCAGTAAAAGTAATAAATCTAAACAAGTTGGAATACTAATTGTTTAAAGTATGAAAGACCCTCTGGCAAAGTCAACAACATTTGTTATTTATACCGTTTATATTTGGCAAGAAAAAAAACTAGTTATTAAAAAAAAGTCGTGAAAATTTTTCCTCTTGCGCCTGCTTCAGTCAGTACAATTGACAGAATGGTTTTGTTGAAAAATGTCAAAAGTTTAATTTTTATTCGCATTTTTTGAAACTTCAGACATGCTCTTAAAATTGTTAAAATGTTAAAAAAATTTTCGACATTTTGTAACCGGTTTTAGTGGTCCTTTTCGAGTTCATGAAAATGTCAGAATATTCATTAAAACGATTTTTCACAACAACAAAAACTTTAATGATATTTACCGATTTTCGTTTAAACATTCATTAATAAATTAATCGTTACAGAATATAAATATTTTGCAGCTCTGACCTAAATAAATTCTAAAATTTGAGTCACTGATTATAATCTATATATTTCAGACGACTCTAGCGAGTAAATCAGGGGCTGTAGAGAAAGCTATGCAAATGGAAATTAAGAAGGTCATCATTTTAAAAATTTTATATTTGGTTCTGTTATTTATATTGACACAGGAAGGATATGACATGAACAAAAAAAATTAAAACTTATCTTCCCCATTTTATTCAAATATCTCATCTTCGGATTCTTATATCTTTGTAACCAATCGTAGCCCTAGGATATTTCACGCTTTGAATATTTGATCTATTAAAATACATAATAAAAAATATCAAAGGTTTACGAAAATCAGGTTAAAAATGAGCATGAGGCAAGTAATCTCAGTTCCTTTGTTCCGAATTAATCCTGATTGTAAAATATGGAATTGTCTATGTTTGTTTTTGTTCTAGGTGCCCTGGTGGAACAAAAGAACAAGAATGGAAAGAAGATTTTTTCTTATCACAGGTAAAATTTGGGATTACCACCTTTAACTAACGTTTTTATGAATGTTTGTTTCCACATACTAATTTCCATAGTTTTCAAAGTTTTAAAAAGTTAAATTATTATTATTAAATTACTAGTGTTATTTCAGTTAGGATTTTATCTATTTATGCATTAAACTGAAGAAATTACTTCTGGTACTTCTTGAAGAATCAGGATATCGTCGTTATTCTTGTTCAGATATAGTGTACCGTTGTAAATCCGACATTACGATTAAACCTAGGTAAAAGTCCTTTACTCACGTGGATTTAACGTTTCAGAAAGCTGTGACTTTCGATCACAATTTGACTCATTAGACATAATTTATTAGCCTTTTTTTCATAAATATTTTTTGTCGGCATATACATGATGGATGAAAAAGTATAAAATAAAAAAATCTGTAAGTTAAAAGATTGTTGATATATAGACAAAAACATGTTTGATTTCATATAGAAGAAACTGAATACTGCTCACTTTGGTTAGTCCAAGGTGAACTGACTCCTTTTTTATTGTTTAGGTGTACTAGGTGTACTGTGTGTTGGTCTGAGTATTGCTATTATTCTATTAGCCAGAGGGAAAAAGAATACGGTATGCATTTATTTAATCAATTTTATTCCAAAACTTTGCTGGAACAATCACGAAGGGGACAAAAGGAATGTTAGTCACGCCTTGATTATTTTAAGATTACTTTATGCTCTAACAATCCAAATTTTTGTGTGGAGACTTTTCCACCAGTTCTTATGAATGCATCACTTCAGATCTATTTCCATGTTCCTTTATAGTTTTAGCAGAGGCACAGCTGTTTCTCATTTTGTAATTTTTAATGCATCTCATGTTCAATTCTTCACCTTGTTTTCTTAAATTAAAATTCACATGTATTTTAAGACAATAGGTGTTTAAACTGCGCACAGAGTGAGAAAAATATTATATTAATGATACTTTTCCATTGTATTTACTAACAAAATATTTCTTATTTCAGGGTCCTGAACACAGGTTTCAGTTTGGTGCTGATGATATTAGGCCCGCCTATCAAACATCATCAGAACTACTTGCAGGTAAACATCATCAGCACTACTAGTAGGTAAACATCATCAGAACTACAAGTAAGTAAACATCATCAGCACTACTAGTTGTTAAACATCATCAGAATTGCTAGTATAGGTAAATAAAATCCATTAAAAATTAAAGACTAAGATAAGATTTAAAAAAATCATTTTTAAATTCGATATTTCTTGATGTTTTAGATGAACCTAAAGTGACCAGTCACCCTGTTAATTCAAATATGTGTACATCAAAGGTAATAAAAAGACAGCCATGAAATAGAATGATAAAATTTTTGATGACAATTCATTTCAATCGGCTGTAATTCAACCAGCTGTGTAATATACAATTGTTTAAAATATGAGCGCACTGTGAGTTTACTGTGTAAAATAAGTAGATGCAAGCAACACGACTTCTTATTTTGTGACTGTTGCCCAAGGAAGCTACGTGAAGAGAGAGATTAGTATATATTTTAGGGTTTGGCTAGGTTAAGACACTTTCTGGGCCGAGCGCTGCGGCTAGGACAGGCTACGGGATGAGCGCCGCGGCTAGGACAGGCTACGGGGGCCGAGTGTCGCGGCTAGAACAGGCTGTCTGTTCTGTCTTGTAATTTAACGCGGCATGCCCGCGTAACTTCCTTCTGCCTTATGTTGATACAAAAGTATTATATAAGACGGTGATTACAGAAAGAAGCGATCACATATTCCAATTGATTTTTTAAAAACAGCATTGTACCGTGTGATGAAAACTTAATAAGTATTTTTTAATATTTAAACCACAGTGGGAGTGTACAGTGGTAGATATATCCTTGTGACGGGGCAGGAACTGAATCAGCTGATCGCATGTTGCCGAGAAACCGCGCCAAAAATGTCCCCTGGCATGCATTGTTAGACAATTCTTTTTTTCAAGCTTTATGTTGCCTTTCATGACAATCTAAATATTTTAAAATCATTGTGTTTAATTTTTCAAGTTTTCTTATTACATTGTACATTGTACAGACTTACACCCACTAGATTATTTTTAATAAATATGTTTGCTTTTCTAGATGTGCTTTTAGTTTTTCACATTTCACATTATTAAGACAAAAATTGTTTCTAAGACCAATAGATAAATTTATATTAAATGTAATTTAATTGAATAGATTAATAACTATCATATCTAGAAATTATATAATAAATCTTGAAGAATTTCGAGTAGATAAGACAGACAAGAAAGACTAGACGGACAAAACAGACAAACCATACAATACTCACAAGACAGACTAGACTGACAAAACAGACAAACCAGACAATACAGACAAGACAAACAAGACAGACAAGACAGACAAGCCAGACAAGACAGACAAGACAGACAAGATAGACAAGACAGACAAGACTGACAAAACAGAGAAACTAGACAAGACTCACAAGACAGACTAGACTGACAATACAGACAAACCAGACAAGACAGCTAAATAGTTTATATTTATTTATTAGTGCAGTATTATCCTATATTTTATCTAATTACTACTCTATTTAGTGAATAAAATCGTAAAATCTGTAAATTTTAAAAAGATGCATTTTGCAACAAAAGATCTGACCTCCTCAACCGTCACGGTTGCATCATAACATGCAAAATCAGAAAGAAATTATTTTGTATTCGACTTGTTTAAAATGATTTATAGTAACGAGGTTTCAGATTTGATTGTTCTCAACCCTAATTGTACACTGTTGTACAGACTGTACACCGTACAGGGTTACCCACACATTTGAAAGTTTAGACTCCATCGACTGTACAGTAAATATTTATGCTGATTATAATGAATCTCAGCGTGTGAATTCTGTGACGTGAACAATCTCTTTAATATAAACTATTTAGGGTTGTATAAGTACAGCTGCTGAGGTCATGCAGATGATGGATGAGAAGATAGATCCATTTTTCTACAGGTAAATCAAAACATGGGAGGTTTGAGCGGAAGGGGGGGGGGGTTTGAATTGAAAAAATGTTTTCCCCCCTCTGGCGTAATTTTCTTAAAGATGATTTTTTTTTCATAGAAAGACATTACATGTCTGACCATTTCATAGAAAAAGAAAAAGGAAATAATTCAAGAAACTTTTGATTCTTCAACCCTGCACTGATCCCTTGCTTGAATTTTAAATTATTTGTAAGAGAACTGAATATACGTTTTCATTTATCTAAATTCCTTTAAAGCAATAAAATTAAATCTTTTTAGTTTTGCATGTGGTCGATATATAGAAGAAACAGTAATCCCAGACGATAGAACACGAACATCAATGTTCTCTGTTCTTGGAGATAAACTAGAAGAACAGGTTGGATATATATTGATAGAACTAGAATATGTTCTCTATACTAGATAGAAATATAATATGTTCACTTACTAGATAGAACTAGAATATGTTCTCTATACTAGATAGAACTAGAATATGTTCTCTATACTAGATAGAACTAGATTATGTTCTCAACACTAGATAGAACTAGATTATGTTCTCTATACTAGATAGAACCTAAAAAAAATACTTTGTACTTGTTCTCTGTATTACACCCTCAACTAACCTTCGGTGTGCTCTATTGTAATCTGCAGTACTCTGACCAAAGAACTATAGTAGCGTTTAGTGGGGGGTGATTATATACTATATTTACAATATACCATATTTGAACCGCGTCTTTAAATTCTTTAAAAGTTCTGCCTCTGGAAGAACTCAGACTGGGTTTAATTTATCCAAGATTAAAGAAAAATATTTGACGGAAACTACTTGATTTGTATCCAGGGGAGAAGACGAGAACGATCTGTTTACACAATTTATCGAACAAATAAACAATCTTTCTCAAGATAATTATTCATTAAGTGCGGGTACAGACAGAAACTTTCCAGACACTGCAGATAGACAGATAGATGGATAGATAGATAGATAGATAGATAGATAGATAGATAGATAGATAGATTGATAGATAGATAGATAGATAGATAGATAGATAGATAGATAGATAGATAGATAGATAGATAGATATATAGATATATGAATATCTAGGTTCGAGGTCTACTAGAAGGAGAGTTTAAACCTGATGAACCAAAACCCTTCCAAATGGCTAAATCTGTTTTCCAGGTAATTAACATTAAGCAAGATGTTTACATAATGTTATTATTTAAAAAATCATTCTTACTTTGTTTATTATTCATAAGATATCTAATGAGAAAATTAATGAAATATAAGAAAATTATTGATATATATATATGAAATCTAATGATGTATAAAAAATCTGATACATAGTATTTGAAAATGGCATATTAGCATAATATTCCAGAAGAAAATCGAAAAATCAATAATTTTTAAAATTTGTTTATAGTTTATGGTTTAAATCATCGAGTTCTAAATATTCTGTTTAAATTCCCACAAGAATGAACAAATAGCAACAAATTATTGTCGGTCTTAGCTTAAAGTATTTAGCTGTCGATATAATTTCAGTTTCGTTTTAAATTTTAATCTTAAACTTTCTTGGAGCCAAATTTTAGGAAATATCCCTGTTTTTCGTCGAAAATTCAATCAATTTTAAATGCGGTTTATTCAAAATCATATGCAGCAGAGACGAATAAAGAAGGTGACAGAATTTGACTCTTCTTTTAAACTTAAATAAAGGTTTGAAGGGTACTGTTGTGAATCGATGATTGTATTTGCTCTGTTTAGTCGTGTATGAATACAGACCTCATCGAGGAACTAGGTATTGAACCTTTACACAAACTCTTGAAACAGCTTGGAGGTTGGCCAACCCTAGAGGAGGATACCTGGACAGGAGAAGGATTTAAATGGTAAAACCATCGATTATTTATCAAACAACATTTCAGGGGAATACATGTTTCTAAGCACACTTAAGTTCAAAAACTAAAACTGAGCTTTGAAGAACAAATGAGCTTTTTCACAAACTCTAATTTTTTACTCCCTGTATGTTTGCTACCTGGTGTCGTGCACCTCTGATATTTCATACTTTAAATTCTGTAAGATCAAATAGTCTAGGATTAAATTTTCGGTGGTTTACACCATCAGATTGCAAAGATTATATTGATTAGAACGTTTAAGTTTGTGTCAACGTTTGGCCGGTACGCCTACGTTTAACCCACATTCAAACAAATACAAATCAATGGATTGTCTCGTTTTTTTTTTGAAAATTTAAATGATAAAGCTCCAAGCACATATATATGTCAACATAATTGTTGGTCATGGCTGGACAAAATTGGCTGATAAAAAAATGGTAAAAAATCGATTTTTATTTCTTTAATGCCTTGGCAACACCGAGTACCTGCAGTTAGTACATATTATATTTATTTTTGGGGTAATATTTATTTTAATCTACCCATTTATATCATTAATCTACCCATTTATATCATTAGTCTACCCATTTATATCATTAATCTACCCATTTAAGAAAAAATGGGTCCTCAATAGTTTATTCTCCCTAAAAGACATTCCTTTTAAAAGATGCCTTTAAAATCATGAATTAAAATCTATCGGGAGAGGCATATTTGAATGAAGTATAGGCTTGAAGTATATGCTTAAAGTAAAGGCTTGAATTATAGGCTTGAAGTTAGGTTGTGTATCAATTTGCTTGGAATTAAAGAAACCCAATATGCTTATGTACAAACATGTCTACTCAATATTCAGAACAAAAATTAAAACTTAAAATATGTAAATTTCGTTTATCTTTTAAGATAATTCAGATATGAGCTGAAAACTTCAGAATTGGATATCCCCTTAACCCCGATCGCTTAACCCCGATCGCTTAATCTGAATATCCAGTGTGGAAACTTTTGATTTTTTGCTTAATCATCTCTTTTGGAAATCCCTGCTTGGTTGATTGTGCTAAAAATTTCCAGGCTTCTAATTGGCTGTTTGGTTCATGCAAACGACTCTTTAATTGGTTGAATTTTAGACAACTTCCTGGATATTAAAATAGCAAAATAAAAATTATATTAATCTGCAGATTAACAAACAAGGAGATCAAGCATTGATCTCGATATTTACAATTCTAAGTTGTCAGCTGTGGACGTATAAAACGTTTAAGTGACAAGTTAGTTTACTTTTTACTTTTGTGCAGACTTCAACTACTTTTAAACATTTAAATTTAGACTTTCCTAAGTGCTCTTAGGGAAAAAGAAGTGTATTTCTGTGAAAACTGATTTGAATAGACTGTAGTTGAAAAACATGAAAAATAAACAAGAAAACATAAACAATGTTTAGTGCTTATGTATTATCTTGGGTCCCATATGTTTTCTTTCCTTTTGTTTTTACAAAGTAAAGAAACATAGAGACTTATCAGACTTGAAACATTGTTTTTATTATGTTTTTGCGTCTGCCTAGGGAGGGAGGGGGGGGGGGCAAACTTTCAAAATATACTCCAACTTTTAATCTTTTTATCAATTAGATTTTAAAAAAATTCAAAAGAATAAATTACATTTTTTTAAGTATTTACATGTTGAATTTTTTTTTGGTACATTAGAATAAAAACGCGGGAAACGTTAAATGTATTTACGGATCGGAAGATATTGAATTGTGTACAGAAGTTGAACTTTAAAAAAAACAAAATTTTTTAATCTTTATTTTCCTAATTTTTCCCCCAATTTATATTTTAGAAAATACTAATATGACTAAACTGAATAATGCTAGTAAGGACATTGACATACAAATAAATTGATCTCAAATTATTTGATTACAGGAAGTATTTATATTAAACCTTCAAACTTTTCTCCGCTTAACTCTTATTAAACGATTTAATTTTATTCTGGGATAAAATTTTCTTAATCCGCAATCGCAGATACAGTAGGATAACATTACTTATAGACCGATAGAGATATAGAGCAAGTATAAAGCAGAAAACTCAAATAATTGCAGTAATTTCTTAGAGTTTGAGTTTAATGTTTATATGTTTTTACGCACCTTGGATTAGGTAATTGTACTAATCTGTGAGATTGAAATAACGCGAAACAGTTTCTGTGCTTACGTATTAAACCTAAACTCAACTTTCAGTGCACACTGTAGTTTGAACATTGCATAGGAAGACATTTCATAAATAGACATTTAATAGATATGAAATGTCATAAAGAAGGACATTTAATAGAGAAGGACGTGTCATAGGTAATGACATTTTATAGATAAGGACATTTACTAGATAGGGACATTTACTAGATAAGGACATTTACTAGATAAGGAAATTTACTAGATAAGGACATTTACTAGATAAGGACATTTACTAGATAGGGACATTTACTAGATAAGGACATTTACTAGATAGGGACATTTACTAGATAGGGACATTCACTAGATAAGGACATTTTATGGTACATTTGCTGAACCATTGGAAGCACTATAGCTGGTGAGGGCTGGGGAGTGCTATATAGCTAGTGAGAGCTGGGGAGTACTATATAGCTGGTGAGGGCTGGGGAGTTCTATATAGCTAGTGAGGGCTGGGGAGTTCTATATAGCTAGTGAGAGCTGGGGAGTACTATATAGCTGGTGAGATCAGGGGAGTACTATATGAATATGATTCAAGTACAATTGTACTCTATGTATCCTAATATCTCTAATAATTCGGACTACAGACTACGCTACGATGAACCCTCTGTGATTTATTTGACATTGAATATCTAAATATAATTCATTAAACATCAGAGTAATATTGTTATCATCAAAATATTCAAAATATTCGATTTAGCAAACTAGGAATTTCGGAATTTAAATTTGAACATAATTTTACAAATTTAAAGAAAATGCATTTTGTATATTTACATAAATATATTATTATTTAAATCTTACAAGCATTTTCTAATTTTCTTTAATGTTATATCATATGAAATTAATGTCAATTAATAGATTATTTATATTCTCATATTTATTCAGGTATGAGTTGATATATAAATTCCGAAACTTGGGCTACTCGGTTGATTACCTGGTGGATTTCTCAGTTACTACAGATCTTAAAAATTCATCCTACAGGTTTATTTATTTTTTAAATCATCAAATTCTGATTGTGTTTAAAATCTTCTGAACTGTAGTATCTTAAATATATTTTTAGAACAATAGATTTAAAAATAATAAGGAAGAACTGAACTCTTTTTTCTGCTCCCTATATTTTTGCAACTTGATACTAAAAACCTTTAAAACTTTAAGCTTTGGCAAACAGTTCTGACATCGTAGTTTTAAATAAGAAAGGTCTACCAAATTAGGTTGCAAAAATATATGGATTCGAAAATTATAGTTTGATGGAATTGATCAGTTCCTTTTTCACAACAACAGCCTAAACCAGATATTTGTAGAGTATTGGATTTGGATCAGCCTGGATTAGGAATGGCTCGAGAATATTTGATGAAGGGAGTAGAGGACAGCGATGTAAAGGTTGGTGTAAATATATTCTACAATTTACATCTTATTATATTTGATGAAGGGAGTATAGAGGACAGGGATGTAAAGGTTGGTGTAAATATATTCTACAATTTACATCTTATTATATTTGATGAAGGGAGTAATGTAAAGGTTGGTGTAAATATATTCTACAATTTACATCTTATTTAACTAACGAGGGGGGAGATAGAGTTTGTTTACATTCTATAGTGACGTCCTGGTTATTTACAAACAAAAAAACTAGTTCTATGAACTGTTAAAAAAAGACACAGTCAATTGACAACAATCCCTTTTTCTCTTTCCTTTCTTATACGCTCATTGGTTAAGGAATTTGGTTTTGACTCTTCAATTTTTAAAAAAATTGAATAATTGTTAAATATTCCTGATTTAAAGATGTCTAGCTTGATCCTGGTTTTATTAGCTCTACGGGGGTCAGGAAACATTTTTTTGTGTGGGTTTATGGATATTTGATGTATCAAGTATTCAACAGTCGTCGTCGTATTTTAGTGCAATACGGCTACAAAGCTTTCAAACAGCAGAAAGGCATAAACAAAGTGAAGTTGTTAATTAACACATTTGCTTTGTTTACTTGTAAACTTGCAATTTGAAAAACGTTTGTCAGAAATTAAAGCATTAGTAATAAAAAGCCGTCTTCATTTCATGGATGAAAATGCCGACTACTATAATTTTTATTTGTAATCTACATGGCTGTAGCAAGTATCCCGATTAGGCATATTTTGACTATACTGTTTTGGTATAATTAAACTACAAGGATGTAGCAAGTATACTGTTTTGGTATATTTAAACTACAAGGATGTAGCAATTATACTGTTTTGGTGTATTTGAACTACAAGGATGTAGCAAGTATACTGTTTATTTATATTTTAACTACATGGATTTAGCAATTATACTGTTTAGGTATAGTTAAAATACAAGGATGTAGCAAGTATATTGTTTAGGTATATTTAAACTACATGAATGTAGCAAGTATACTGTTTAGTTATATCTAAACTACATGAATGTAGCAAGTATACTGTTTAGGCATATTATGACTACATGTTGGATGTAGCAAACCTGATGGGAGCAGACCCTGAGCTGGCGGCTAAAGAAATGAAAGAAGTTTTAAACTTTGAAATACAGTTGGCTAATATATCTCTACCCAGGTATATACAAGGAAAATATATCTCTACCCAGGTATATACAAGGCTAATATATCTCTACCCAGGTATATAGAAGGCTAATATATCTCTACCCAGTTATATACAAGGCTAATATATCTCTACCCAGGTATATACAAGGCTAATATATCTCTACCCAGGTATATACAAGGCTAATATATCTCTACCCAGGTATATACAAGGCTAATATATCGTTACCCAGGTATACACAAGGCTAATATATCTCTATCCAGGTATATACAAGCCAAATATATCTCTACCCATGTATATACAAGCCTAATATATCGCTACCAAGGTATTTACAAGGCTAATATATCGCTACCCAGGTATATACTAGGCTAATATATCTCTACCCAGGTATATACAAGGCTAATATATCTTTACCCAGGTATATACAAGGCTAATATATCTCTAACCAAGTATATGCAAGGCTAATATATCGCTACCCAGGTATATACAAGGCTAATATATCTCCATCCAGGTATATACAAGGCTAATATATCTCTACCCAGGTATTTACAAGGTTAATATATCTCTACCCAGGTATATACAAGGCTCATATATCTCTACTCAGGTATATACAAGGCTAATATATCTCTGCCGAGGTATATACAAGGCTAAAATATATACAATATACAAGACTGATTTGAAAGTCATTGTAATGACAATGATAATAAAACAGATGCATCATAATTTCTTTTTAGACTGAACGTAAGAATAAAACGTCTGAAATTTGTTTTCTTAGACCTTTCAAATTAATGCAATAGCTGAAAGGACAAAGAATGATATAAAATTTTTTTTTTCTTATTTTGATTTTCTGAGAAATGTGTCAGTATTTTCGGTACGCAATTCAGTGGCAAACATGATTGAGATTTGTCATAAAAGATTGGAAAAGGGAAGGGATGCGGTACTTTCTAATACAAGAACTATATTATTGTTATGTTTGAGTATTTTTATATTTTAGAGAGGAGAGAAGAGATGCTTCCAAACTGTACAATCGAATGATGGTGAGTAGGATTAGTTCACAGATTATTTTATCATGATAAACATCCTAAATAATTAGATTGTTGCTTATAACTCAAGTGTAAACAAAAATCATGTTTTTAAATTGAAATTTAAATTATCTGTGATTTTCTGATTTTTTACCGCATAAGTGCTTATTATATGTTATTATAGATCAAGGACCTGTCCAGCCTGGACCCAAACACCCCCTGGTTGGAATACATCAACAACCTCCTGAACGGAACCGTTACAGTTGATGAGAACGAAGTTATTATTGTTGATGTTCCAGAGTATATTAAAAAGTTCAGGTAATGGGTTTTCAAAGATCAAAAAAAATATAAAGTCGTTTTAGACGCCAGTTTTTAGAAACCAGCTTTTAGAAACCAGTTTTTAGAAACCAGTTTTTAGAAACCAGTTTTTAGAAACCAGTTTTTAGAAACCAGTTTTTAGAAACCAGTTTTTAGAAACCAGGTTTTAGAAACCAGTTTTTATAAACCAGTTTTTATAAACCAGGTTTTAGAAACCAGTCATTAGAAACCAGGTTTTAGAAACCAGTTTTTAGAAACCAGTTTATGTTGTTAAGTTGTAAATCTATTTTTAGCCTGCAATTTTAGATTTAAAGTTTCTGAGTAAATGTCTATGTTGAGTTTACAGATTATTTGGAAAAGGAATGATTTCGGATTGTGAAGATCTGTGATCCCGACCAAGATATATATAATGTTGTGAGTCTGGTTCAGAACCCTCGGACCTTCATTTCCTGCTTTTTTAGTGTCAACCCTGGTTAAATGTCAATCTTGCATTTGGCCTTTAGCGGCAGTAAACCAGAAATTTTGTTCTTTTAAATAGAAGTTCATTGAACCTGTTTATGTAGCGTACTGATTGAAGAGACACCCGTCAGGATACAGGCGAACTACATGATGTGGAGGTCAGCTGCGTCATCAATGGGTTTCCTCACTGAAGCAGCAGATAAGGTGAATTCATACCAATAATTTGTTCTGAACCGTAAACTTTTGGTTCTTTTAAAGCTATACTTTGAAAAGCTATAACATCCTTAACTAAAACTTTTAAATTTATATGTTTAAATCTCGATGTATTTGTAAACAATGTAGAAATAATTCCTAAAGTTTTGATTGGTGGAATTCCAGAACGTAACTTCTCTTTCCAAATAAAAGTGTCCGAATACTAATTTACTAGCTATGAAATTTTGTTATCAACATTATAAGTCAGTTTAGACGTTCTCCTTCCAATTAAAAATTCTCATTTTTTCTTAGATTGCATTGAAGTTTTCTAAGAAACTTACAGGGAAAAGTGAGGAGCCTCCACGTTGGCGAAAATGTGTTTCTGCCGCGTCCGGTTCTCTCTGTAAGTCGTCTTTAATATTTTGTCATCGTATTTTCTCTCATGGTAACTTATTTCAGCGAATGCTGTAGGATCTCTGTATGTAAACAAATACTTTAAAGAGGATGCGAAGGTAAACAAATTATGATGAAATGCTTAGGTTTGACTGTAAGATAATACTTTAAGTATTATGATACAGAGTTTCTCACAAAGGATGAGGCTTTAGAGACGACTGTACCGAGTTTATAGAGTCTTAATTCTTACATTATTATTTTCCTTCGGATGTAATTTTTTTTAAATTATACCTTAAAATCTATATTTTAGACAGAAGGCGAATTTTAAACTGTTTGTTCTTATATTTCTTATATTGTGTGCGTTGTACATTTGAACATGTACAGTGTACAGTATAAATAAATAATAAATTATTTAGGCCTCTGCGGTTGAAATGGTAAAATTAATCCGAGAGGAATTTATGCAGATGCTTAGGTAAATTTAATGATAATAATGATAATTATTTATACGTTATTTTAGTCATTAGAAACAAAATTTTAATTATCTTACTTATCATAACAACACTAAAAAAAGAAAATAATTATTAATATGTTTCAGTGAGGTAGATTGGATGGATGATAGCACTAAGGATCGAGCAAAAGAAAAAGCACGAGCTATGGTGGAACATATTGGATATCCATCTGGTAAGTGATAAAGGAATGGTTTCGTAATTCATTAGTTGAAATTTTCCTCCTTAAAAAAAGTTGTCTAAAAATGCGAGAACCTATCGATTAGAGCCTAGAGGGTTTCATTAAAATTAGAATTTTTAAAGAGTTTTTGCTCTCAACTCGTATTTATTCATTAAGTCTGATTGATGTAAAAAATATATCAACATTTGAACATTTGCAAAATAAATATTTCCAATTCGGTTTTTTTTTTACCTCCCAACCTTTAATGTTTAATGATCAGAGATCAGGAGCTTAAAATAAATTCGTAAATTTTTATTTGTTTTGATCAAAATTTACGACAAAAATTTTCAAATGTTTTAATGCACATTTGTATTAAAAGTACGCACGATCATAATGGTTTCGGCAAAAAACAAATAATCAAAAATGTTATGTAGCGCCAAAATGTTCAGAGGAGAATCTATGATATGATATGATATGATATGATATGATATGATATGATATGATATAATATGATATGATATGATATGATATGATATGATAATTGTTGTTGTTTGTGTTTAGAGTTGCTTGATATGTCTAAGTTGACTGATCTATATGCTGGCCTGGAATTATCACCTGATGCGTATCTACAGAATGCGCTGAATATGACAATATTTGGAACAAACTACGCATTTTCAAAACTCAGGGAAAAGGTAATTTTCAACTGAGTGATCATATCAACATTAGTTCACAGACTTTCAGATTAATAGTATATATNATCAATAAATATTCCTTCCTTGATTTTTTTAAGTCATTTTTCGGCAAAAAATCTAAAAATTATTTGTACACATTTTGTTCTGACTCTAAATCTCTAAAAGATCCAAAATATCAACTTACAGATATCCTTATTTTGATTAAATGTTTTAATTTGTTGTCCTTTAAATCAAAAGTATTATACCATGAATTCGACGTCAGAAGAATTATTATAGTTGAACTGGTTGTGGCTACTTAAGGACCTTCGATCTTTCGTTCAAAAATTCAAAACTTTCCTGGGCTCATTATATAATATATCAATTAAACTGACTTAATGAAAACATAAACCTATGAAATTTTGGACAAAATAATGTAAAAACTATTGTTTAAAATATTGAATATCTAGGTGAATAAAACTGACTTGATGGAACCATAAACCTATTAAATATTTTACAAAATAATGTAAAAACTATTGTTTAAAATATTGAATATCTAGGTGAATAAAACTGACTTGATGGAAACATAACCCTATGAAATATTGTACAAAATAATGTAAAAACTATTGTTTAAAATACTGAATATCTAGGCGAATAAAACTGACTTGATGGAACCATAAACCTATGAAATATTTTACAAAATAATGTAAAAACTAATGTTTAAAATATTAAATATCTGAGGGAATAAAACTGACTTGATGGAAACATAAACCTATAAAATATTTTACAAAATAATGTAAAAACTAATGTTTAAAATATTGAATATCTAGGTGAATAAAACTGACTGGGTGAGACATGGACAACCCGCTGTAGTAAACGCTTTCTATTCTCCTTTAGAAAATTCAATTCAGTTCCCAGCTGGTATTCTTCAGGTATAAATTCATGTTTCAAAGGACTGTAAGCGTAATTTCAAGTAACCCTCCATTTAAAGATGGCAAAGCCCGATTCACCAAGGTACCCTTAACAACCTTTATCTGATCAATGTGTAAGATTCTATCGTTTGTCTAGGTTTAGGTTAATTCTAATAATTCTTTTATGTTTTCCAGCAGAAATAATTCCTCTATGTCTTCCTGCAGTAATAATGCACAAGTTATTTTAGTAGAGAACCCACAATTGAAAACTATTCACATTAATATCAGACTAATACTTGATCAGACAAAGCTTTTAAGGGTACCGTTGTAAATTGGGCATGCATTGCCATCTTTGTATAAAAGGTCACTTAAAATTCCGCTTGTCGTCCCTTTTCTTACGTGCAAAATATAAAATGTGACTTGAATGTCTGAAAATCTGTTTTCAAGAATCAAACTCATGGAAAATGTAAAAAAGATGATATTTTGATTAACAGTGATTTTCTGAATCTTTAACCTGTAGGATATGATGATTCCTTCTGCTTATGGACCTCGTTATTAATCTTTTATTAATCATGAAATAAACTTAGAAATTAGAATACAACTCCACATCTTGTATTTTAGATTACTGCAGTACTTCAGTATTAGAATACAACTCCACATCTTGTATTTTAGATTACTGCAGTACTTCAGTATTTGTAAAAACGGTGCTGGGTATTTTCCCAAAAACATTTTCCCAAGGGCGACTTCCCAAGTGAAATTTTCTAAGTGTTAACTTCCCAAATGCGTAATTTCCCAAGCGGCCACTTCACAAAGAGGGCTGAGCGTTGCGGCTAGGATGGACTAGTGGGTCGAGCGCTTCGGCTAGAACAGGCTTGGGAAGTTGTTGCTTAGGAAAAAGCCTTTAGGAAAGTATCTCACATCGTAAAAACTGCATGGTGGTTAAAGTAAAATTGAAAATGGAATTCTTAAAAATATGGATAAAATTCTTTAGAATAAAGGATCTTACTTAATCCTTATATTTTTACAATCTGACGGTGTAATTTTTATTGAAAATTCAAACTTTGACTATTAGATCTTGCAGTTTGAAATTCGAAGCTTAAAACGTCAAAAGTTGTAGAAATATATGGATTTGAAGCAGTCAATTAGTTACTTTTAATATGTTGGTTCCTATGACAAGTTCTGTTTACAGGGAATATTCTTCTCTGCAGAGCGGCCCCGGTATATGAACTACGGAGCTATAGGTTGGGTTATTGGACATGAGATCACGCATGGATTTGATGATCAGGGTAGACAGTTTGATCTAGGTAATAAGCTTTATCATTAAAAAAGATTAAAGGGACTATAGATGGAATTTCAAGCATAATCATCTATCTAAAGTGTTCCAATGCATCCCCGACCCAGAACCATATTTAACTTATCTTAACATTGATCAAAAACCGGATGTTTGGATAGTTGAGACGAGGTAGAAAATTGAAGAATTTCTCTTTTTTGATTTATTGATTGATACAGATATGTTATAGACTAGTTGAAGTGCCCGGCGTTGCCCGTGAATTTTAAAAACACTCGAAAAATTTAGAAACATTTAAAAAAATTGATTTTTGATTACATGTAGATATAATATGATAATATGGGCAATAATGTATTGATTTAGGATTTTCTTGAGACACTGCATTATTTAGAACTCTTTCTTAAATAAATAATAAGGAAAAGTAGTAGACTGGTGCAAGGATATATGAGTTATAAGTTGATATATTTCAGATGTAAACCTAGTAGACTGGTGCAAGGATATATAAGTAATAAGTTGATTTATTTTAGATGGAAACCTAGTAGACTGGCAAAGTTATATGAGTTTCAAGTTGATATATTTTAGATGGAAACCTAGTAGACTGGTAAAAGGTTATATGAGTTTTAAGTTGATATATTTTAGATGGAAACCTAGTAGACTGGTGCAAGGTTATATGAGTTATAAGTTGATATATTTTAGATGGAAACCTAGTAGACTGGTGCAAGGATATATGAGTTATAAGTTGATATATTTTAGATGGAAACCTAGTAGACTGGTGCAAGGTTAAATGAATTGTAAGTTGATATATTTTAGATGGAAACCTAGTAGACTGGTGCAAGGTTATATGAGTTATAAGTTGATATATTTTAGATGGAAACCTAGTAGACTGGTGCAAGGTTATATGAGTTTTAAGTTGATATATTTTAGATGGAAACCTAGTAGACTGGTGCAAGGTTATATGAGTAATAAGTTGATATATTTTAGATGGAAACCTAGTAGACTGGTGCAAGGTTATATGAGTTTTAAGTTGATATATTTTAGATGGAAACCTAGTAGACTGGTGGCATCCAGAAACTAAATCTAGGTAAAGTATTTAAACATGTCATTAATCAAAATGAACTGAGTTTTCACCACAAACTTCCATTTTCTAATCACATATATCTTTGTAGCCCTATAATGTTCTAAACAATATAGCGACCTAACCGAATTCGTGGTTTGAAATGTCAAAGGTCTACGACATCGGGTCCAAAGATATGGGGTAACAAAATCAGAGTTTATGACAAAAATTCACTTCCTATGAAGTATCAACGGATTACATCAACAGGTTGCAAATGAATAGTGGTATGAACGAGTGTTCAGTTTCTTCTTGTAATATGATGTGAATGCTTGAATATGTACATATTTTAAACTTTCTTACTTCAGTGCAGACAGCAGATTTTCGATTAAAATCATTTTTTTTGTAAAAAATATTGTTTAATGACTTCTATATACAAAACATACATTTACAAGTTCTTCATAATGTCATGTCATTGAATTATGCACAGATAAACTTAAGTAGATTGGATAGAACATTCTTTATGGGATGTCATGCAATTGAGTCGGAATCAATTGAATGATACATCGCGTTGCAATTTTAAAATATATAAGTCCAGGGCTACACAAATTTATAAGTAATTTGGTGAGCTAAAATAAAAGGCCAAACTGCGTTGCGACACTTTAAAGTCGAAACAATTAATTTCAGTGGCGCTGTCCAGTCTACGTAAGTTCTTATATCTATGAAATGTTCGTTAAAGAAACCCGTAAAATTTTAACTTCTAAACTTTGAATTATTTGAAATCGTTTATAAATAGCATACATAGCCACATAAATACATAATTATATCTTCCGGTCTATTCTGAACATTACAAAGAGATATTGAAATAAAACGTAATTAAAGCTTTAATTCAAATATTTTAATAATTTGTTTGAATGGATATTTCCGTTCGAGCATCAATGGTAAGTTAACACATGTCAGAAAAGTCAGAAATAAATACGTATATTTGACATCCATTGAAAATTATAAAAACTGTTTTATTCATGAATAGTTAAAAAACAAACATGTTTTTACATTGAAACCAGATACAATTATAGATTATCCAGTAGATCAATTCTTAAACTTATGTTATCTCAAATATCATATTACCATTCTGCAGATTTCTGGATCCCAAACAAACTATTTGAAATTAATCCTCAATATTCAGATTTGAATATTCAAAATTCATTCTAGAATTAAACCGATTTGTCCTCAATATTCAGATTGGATTATTCATATTCATTCTAGAATTAAACAGATTTGTCCTGAATATTCAGATTGGATTATTAAAAATACGTTCCAGAATTAAACTCCATGAACGTTTGATTGATTTTTAATTCAAGACTGCCAGTTTCATCTTAATGTTATCCTTTTACTCTAAAACCTAAAATGAAAATAGAGAAAAATGTCGATTCTTTTTCTCTCACAAGTGTTGTTTATCGAATCAAACTCCCGCCCCAACAGTTTGCAAGTCATCCATGATCAGAAAAATGTTTGTGTATCTTTTTGAATCGGACATACCACTCTATAACTGAAGAGTCATTTGAATTTACCCCAGCAGTTTTTTAAAGAATAATTTGTTGTTTAGTTATCTGAAGAAAGCGGAATGTATAATTGAGCAGTATGGGAATTATACTATTCCTGATCTTGATAATCTAGCAGTTAACGGTCTTAATACCCAGGTATACTATTCCTGATCTTGATAATCTAGCAGTTAACGGTCTTAATACCCAGGTATACTATTCCTGATCTTGATAATATAGCAGTTAACGGTCTTAATACCCAGGTATACTTTTCCTGATCTTAATACACAACACAGGTATACTATTCATGATCTAATAATCTAGCCGTTCAAGTAGAAGTGGAAGTAGAAAATAATTTTGCAAAATTTATCCAACATAATAAAAGATCGCGACATTATTTATCAAGATAATTTCAACTGGTAATTGTTTAGGGAGAAAATATTGCAGACAATGGAGGTATAAAGGAAGCATACAGAGCATATAGTAAGTATATATTTACTATTATATTTTTCTTTAGACAATATATTCCTATTTTCTACATATTTTTTTACTTTTTTATCTCAACAACAAAATAATCTTTCTGTAAATTCAGAATTCTGAAATTAAAGTTATGTCATTTAAGGCGGTGATGCAAGACATTTAATTCAAAGATTTTTTCCCGCACTCTTGGGAATAGCACAAAAATGACAAATTTACTAGGTTGCAAAGTTGTACCATTATAAAACGGATATCATCCTTGTGTTGATATTGTTGGTGTGTAGCTTGATTATTATTTATCAAGATGCCTGGGTAGCTAAGAATGGTCCTGAACACCAACTCCCTGGACTAGACTTTACTCCAAACCAAATGTTTTGGGTTAGCGCAGCTAACGTCTGGTGTGCTAAATATAGACCACAGGTAAACCAAAAATATCAAATAAAAAAGTATCAAATTAAAATTTAGCATTTTATAATGCTGATTTGAATTGCTTTAAGTCGAGTAAAAGCTTTACGAACTGATTTATTTTATCTAATTAATTCAACTATTGGAAAAAATGTCACAAAAAAAAGATTTTATTTGCAAAACCTTCAAGATGAAATAAAAAGTCAAAAAAGTTACACAAACAACACATTTAATTTTTCTTTGTGCTGATCCATTGATTTATTGATTGATCTCTTATTGAATTATGGATTAATCTATTGATTGATTTATTGATTAATCTATTGATTAATCAATTAATTGTTTTACGGATTCATCTATTGATTGTTTTATTGATTAATCTATTGATTGATTTATTGATTAATCTATTGATTGATTTATTGATTAATCTGTAGATTGATTTATTGATTAATCTGTAGATTGATTTATGGATTAATCTATTGATTAATTAATTGATTAATCTATTGATTAATTAATTGATTAATCCATTGATTGATTTATGGATTAATCTATTAATTAATTAATCTATTGATTGATATATTCATTGATTACAGGCGATGAAATTACGAGTTATGACGGGAGTACATTCTCCCGACCAATTCAGGGTTCAGGTAGAATACTAGATAGGGAGATAGTTCAGGGTTCAGGTAGAATACTAGATCGATAGATAGTTCAGAGTTCAGGTAGAATACTATAGATAGTTCAGGGTTCAGGTAGAATACTAGATAGGGAGATAGTTCAGGGTTCAGGTAGAATACTGGATAGATAGATAGTTCAGGGTTCAGGTAGAATACTAGATAGATAGATAGTTCAGGGTTCAGGTGGAATACTAGATAGATAGATAGTTCAGAGTTCAGAATAGAATACTAGATAAGGAGATAGTTCAGGGTTCAGGTAGAATACTAGAAAGATAGATAGTTCAGAGTTCAGATAGAATACTAGATAACGAGATAGTTCAGGGTTCAGGTAGAATACTAGATAGACAGATAGTTCAGGGTTGAGGTGGAGTACTAGATTGGGAGATAGGTCAGGGTTCAGGTAGAATACTGGATAGATAGATAGTTCAGGGTTCAGGTAGAATAGTAAATAGATAAATAGTTAAGGGTTTAGGTAGAATACCAGAGAGATAGATAGTTCAAGGTTTAGATAGATAGATAGTTGGGGTTTTTAGGAAAAATACTAAATTGATGGATTAGTCATATTTAAAATCAAAAAAGTAATTAGGATTTAAATATTTTCTTTTAGGGACCCTTTTCCAATATGGCTGAGTTTGCAGCTGACTGGAGATGCCCAGAGGGTTCCAGAATGAACCCTGTTAAGTCGAGCAAGTGCAAGGTCTGGTAGATACATCAACTGAATTTAGATTCAAGATCAACTGAATTTAGATTCAAGATCAGCTGTTTGAGATTCAAAATCAGCTGTTTGAGATTCAAGATCAGCTGTTTGAGATTCAAGCTCACCTGTTTGAGATTAAAGATCAGCTGTTTGAGATTCAAGCTCACCTGTTTGAGATTCAAGCTCACCTGTTTGAGATTCAAGCTCACCTGTTTGAGATTCAAGATCAGTTGTTTGAGATTCAAGCTCACCTGTTTGAGATTCAAGATCAGTTGTTTGAGATTCAAGCACAGATGTTTAAGATTCAAGACCAGCTGTTTGAGATTCAAGATCAGCTGTTTGAGATTCAAGATCAGCTGTTTCAGTTTCAAGATCAGCTGTTTCTAATTTAAGATCAGCTGTTTGAGATTCAAGATCAGCTGTTTCAGTTTCAAGATCAGCTGTTTCTAATTTAAGATCAGCTGATTATTTTGTTTTATTGTCAGACGATTACAAATCTTTGACCAGCTGATCAAATTCTTTCTATCGGCTGATTACAAAGCTGTTAACATGGATGAATCAGCTGATTTAATCTTGTTTGTCAGCTGAACTATGTTATTTTGAACAACTACAAAAAATTGGCCTTAAAAGTATTTGACAAAGCCTTAATCGCCAAAAATTACATTCATTATGACCCGGTCAGGAGCCATACATGCATGTACACAAATGTTTGTATCCATGTACATATTAAGTGATATGTACTCTTTACAATGGTATTTTCCCTGACTAGTATTACAATATATTTACACTGTTAATACTCCTCAGTAGACAGATATTTTGCCAAAAAAACAAGATAAAGACAAATCTTATCCAATCCGTCCATTCAGATTTTTTTAATGTTTAAAGTATATTTTATCTTTATTTATCAATGTGAACTATATCCCACTGAATTGATATATTACACAGCACTTGTTTTTTAAACTCTATTTAATCTTTATTTTAAATCCTTTATAACACTCTATATGTATTATTATTATTATTATTATTATTATTTTTCACTTTGTGTTAAGCATTATTAATGTTATATACATATATTTAACATAATATTCTATATTTCTATTTATATAGTAATTATACTTTTTAATATTTTAAAGCCATATTTATTTTCAACAACTTCATAGCATTTTTTATAAGTTTACCCAATTACGGTTTATAAATTCATTAATTAACGTTAAATGTATCGATACAATTATCTTTTCTTGAATAAATGAAAATAAAAGTGTAAAATCTTTATTTATGAAGTTTATCTCTAATATTAAATGAATATTTTCAGTTGGTCCTATATATATATATAATATATATATTTATGAACAATAACACAGATTTTAAACAAAGCTTAGATCTTAGATTCAGACTTCTGTGGAAATTTGCATAATTTTTTTAAAGCAAAGTCAACTTTCAAATATTGAAACTCCTTGACCTGTGATGATTTTACCTCACAAACTCAATTATAAACCTATTTTTGTAACCCTAGACATGTACATCTTAGAGCTATAAAGCGTTTGTTTTTAGCTCAAGGTTTTTAGAAGTAATTGGCAAAATTATTTTAGATTTTTGAGTGAGAGCTTTCAACATTTGGTTATTGTTTACTCAGTCACTGTTTACAAAATTGTGTTTGTTTACGCAAAAAAAAACTAGTTTTGAAGCTATTCTAACACATTTTGGTAAAGTGTGAAAAACTTAATTGACGACTATTAGTTCTTCAGTATCGTGTCTGCCTCTGCACTATAGAAATCTGATGAATATGCTGAACACAATTATTGACCTTAGATATTTCAAACAATGAATTCTATGGATCAGTATTCAATTTCTAAAATATAATGGTTTACACCATCAGGTTGCAAAATATGGGAATTAGCAAATTTAAGTTGGTACGCCAGACATACTAAAATTGATATTTGTTGTGGAAAGAATGTACATTAGGGTGAAAGGAAAAAACGCATAAAATCAAGAGAAGGTTAAATGGGTGATATCAACTCAATTAGTATTAGTTGCAAAAAAGCATTTTTAGTAACTTGATGATGTAAGGTGCAAGTATTTTCTAAAAAAAGTCTCAATTGTTTTAAAGGGAGAGAGAACAATTTGACGCTTGGTTACATCAGATTTTTCAAGCATAGATAATCCTTGATCATGGTTTAGTATATATATATATGTATGAATATATGGTTTAGTATATATTTAATATAGTTGTGAATATTCCTCCTTCAAAGTTTGCAGCAAGCTCTCCGTTATATCCAACCTCAAATAAAAATGTAAAATTAACAGCAATAAAATACAAAAATATATCTTTTACAGTTTTAACTTGGATTTATAAACTTTTAATATTTTTATTGATATCTATTGATAAAAAATTATTTTATTTAAAAGGCATTTTTGTATTAATAAGAAACAAAAAAATCTAAATTATTTCAATAAAAGGAACCACAGAGAACCAAACAGCTATAAAAAGTTGCATACATTTTTAAGAATGAGTCGACTTTAAAGTTTAAAGCGTGACAAATTCAAAATAACTTTCTAAATTCTCGAACATTGTCCCAATTGTCTCTTCCAACTTGTTTTAACAATAACATTTCAAAGTCAACATTTTTACGAACATCAAAATAAAATTAAAATATTACGTAAAAATAAAAATGAAAATAAACAAAATTCAAAAGCCAATTTCAACTAAGATGCATGTTCTTGGTTCTAAAATGATACATAATATTAAAACTTTCGTATTTGCCTTTATTAAACCATATTTCTCCAACGTCAATTATTGTAAACAACGACATTTAGCTAATTCTTCGAGAAAATATTTCAAACCTGGATTCCACAGCTACTTCTAGACGGTTAATAACACCCTTCAGCTTTGCTCCCTCGTCGCTGTCGATCAAACAAGATCCTGACAGAAAATGTAAGATTAGTAAGTTGGTTTTCAAGAACTTGTATACAACTAATCACAACGGTATCAGACAGAAAATATATGATTCTGAGTATTTTTGTTATTTTTGCAGCTTTAAGTAGTGTGCAAACACTTGTTACATTTGAAAGAGCTGCTAGGGTGCGTCAAAATTAATGCCAAATAATAAAAGAGTTTTAAAAAATTCACTTTAACCATTTCACAATTACCTCATCAAATCAATTATTTGTGGAAAAAATATCAATTACGGTTTTAATTTGTTTTTGGGAATTAAAATTAAAAATGTAAAATCTGAAGACAAACCTGCACTTTTCATTGCAAGGGAGCGTTCCAGAGCCATCTGTTGAAGAATACTTGTACTAGTACCCGGCTCCAGCAGCTGATAGGGAGGCATAGATCCATCCGCTGATTCCAGAACAGAATATACTTCAGACAAAGATGGCAGACCAAACTCGTTCATAGCCTGAAGAATATTTTTTACAGGGAAACACATCTTTTACATACAGAGCTTCTCATGAAAGACAAGACTTTACAAACTTTTAATTCAATCTTATTTCTACTACTTAGAGTTCCCTTCTGCTTTTTTATACAATCACTTCACGTGTTGACAATAAGCCTCTAGTTGTACGTATACTGTACGTACATGGTGTACACTTTTGAATATCATTTTCAAAATGCCAGATTTATTCTTTAAAAATTATCCTTTAGATTTGGAGTCACGAAAGTTCGTAGTAGATTTTGACTCCACTGGAGATTGTATAATATTGACTTTAAAATCCCACCCTTTGTTAGAAACCTTGTATGCTAATTGCTTTTGTTTAAAATCAAATAAGTTTTCCTTTTTTTAAAAGGAACTGGTTACTCGACTCGGACTCTTTCTTTTCAATTCTTATACCTTTGTGACCTAATGGTGTAAATACATTTGATATTTTAAACTATGAATCTAGAGCAGAATTCGTAGTTCGCATCAGGTTGCAAAGATAAAAAATAAGAGAGTTTGAATAAAGTTCTTGTATATTATACTTAAAACTATAAAACTACCTGAAATATATCTGATGCCCCACACGCTGGTTCAGGCGAATCAAGTTGACCTTCAATTAAGAAGGGACCTGCATATCCCCAGGTGTATCCTGAAATAGAAAACAATTTAGTGCTATTGATTGATAAGTAAAAAAACAGAAAAATGAAACGACAATTTCCCTCAAAAGAAGATTGGAACTTAGGCAGGAGTCAAACTCTGAAGATTTCATAAGAAGATAAAAAAGGAACTGAGTTCTTGCCACAAACTAAAATTTTCTAATCCTTTCTTTGAGATTGGTACATGGAAACCTTTGATATTTTAAACTTAGACTTCTTAAGCTAACATAATTCATAGTTTGAAATATCAAAGGATTACAAAATCGGGTTTGAAAGATATAGGGATTACAAAATTTGAGTTTGCGCCAAAAAATCAATTTTTTGGAGTCAAAATGGCTTTAGGCAAATCAAACTTCCATTCATAGAGTTGCATGTCCTTTGAACATGCACAATGGTACCCTTTAAACCTTTTTTTGGTCAAGGATGAATGAAACATTCTCATTTTCTATCTTTTCTTCATTATCTCTGCCGTGTAATGCGCAATAAACTTTTACATTGAACACAAAATTAAAATGTAGAGTATCTCATTAATCCATGATCCAATAAAGCTTTAAAGGATAGAACTGTGAATCGGACATGCCACTCTTTAATTGAGGGCCAGTATAAAAAATGTCTACCGTTTCTGTAAATAATTTTGTTCATATCTTGACCTGAGTTTGCAACTAAAACCGCCCAGTCTGATGTAGTGAGTTCCGCCTACAATGTAAAATAAAAAAATCTTTATCTCAATGTGTTCGGAGAAATATCCAAAATACCATAATTTCTAGGGATGGCGGACTATTATTCTTATTGTGATTTTTGATTAGATAAAATAAATTCCCTGTTTCTTTTTTTTCTTGCAAATTATAAAATTGTTATAAAAACATAAAATAAATATTATAACTGCGGAGAATGAAAAATAATGAGTTTCAGAGGAATTGAAATCTACAGTTATTCAGTCATGATTGATATTAAATATTTTTTCCTTGGATTTCCCGTAAATATAACTCCAAGAGTACAGTCCATTTGCCAGTGCTACAGAAACTCCATACGACCAGGCTCGCTTGTTTCCCTTTTCTTTAGTTTCCGTCAATTTTGCCCTAAAGTACAGATATAGTCTGGTATAAAATTGTCGCTTGTCCTTATTTAAGAGAAAGGAAGAAACATTTATTGATATTTAATGTTTATTGTTTATGATCACGCTTAAATCATTGAATCTGCATCACATTAAAAAAGCTGAACAAAATTAATTAATTATATAAGAAGAGTACAGGGGCGTACGAGAGCATTTATGTAGGGGGGGGGGGGCGGCACACAAATGGTGCCCCCCAGGCAACCTTGTGCCCCTCCTTAAAAAAACTCTTTTAAAAAATATCAATACCTTTTTTAACTATGTATGTTCAGGTAAACTATTCGGTCATAAACACAAACATGTTACAAGTGTTAATAAATTATTTATGTATAATTTTCTTAGATGGACTCATCAGACACTGTGGTGTAAGCTTCAAGTTAAAAATAGAGATGGAAACGTTTCTTTAAAAATACTTATATTTTCATAGGATTGATACATTTTGTATTATAAATAATGATATCAAATATATATTTACACTGAAGGCATGGTATTGATTAAACCTGTTATAATGAAACTTTTTAGTTAAGGGCAAAAGTGAGATATTAATGTATTTTTCATTACATGATGAAATTATGCTTAAATGGAATACATGCGTAATTTCAAGTGGCATGACCGATGTACCTTTGAAACCTTCGTTTCTTCATCGTTTCTGAAGCAAGAAATGCACAATTCACTTTTGTAGAGAAACCACAAATAAAAATAATCAGTTTTCAAAATGGGAAACATGGTATATTTAATGCAATACTTGATCAGACAAAGCTTTGAGGGGTATTGTTGTGAATCAGAATATAATTTATTTATTTTCTTAATCTTTTAGTTTGGGTGAGTGCAATGCAATGCAATGTAGATTGTAGATTGCCTGAGGAAGGGAAATGCAAGCAGATGTAATATTAAATGAGCCCCCCATGCGTGCCTCCCCCCCCCTCGTACGCCCCTGAAGCAGAACATAAGATAAAACAGATTTATTTGTTTTAGTGTCAAACATAGGGGTTCCATAAAACTGCGGAAAATGAAGACGACTTTAAAAAATAACTTTCAAGATGAAATTGGTCTGTTTACATGTGTTTCAACTTTTACGTTCCTTGGACCATTCAATTTCCCTAATTGAGAATAAAAGTCTTTACATTCCACAGTTGTAAGGACACCTCTGTACCTTGTTGCTGTAGCTACTGGTTCTATTTCTGCAATGATCTGATCTATCTGTTTGTCAAGAATCCGAGCACTCTGTAATTCATTTTAAATATCAATTATTTTATTATCAGATGATTTAAACTAAATGGGATATTAATTATTTATTGATAAAAATATGCATATTTATTATATTCAATATTTGAGCCAGTAGTAAAGATGAAAAAATTATCCGATTTCAGAATTTAAAGAATCTATTATTGATCTATCAGGAAAGTCTAATGAATTCGTTTGGTATAGTTTTTCTTAATAAATTTATTTTCTTGCGGGAGTTGAGTTTTTGCCACAAACTCTGATTTTCTAATCTCTATATCTTTGTAACCCAATGTCGTAGATCTTAGATATTTCAAACTATTAATACTTATAGATAAAAGATCTAAGTTTGAAATATCAAAGGTTTACACCATCAGATCAGAAGATTTGAAAGAAAAAACTCAATTCCTTTGTGCAAATATAAATTAAGTAAATACGAGAAAATTATATGTATCTATTTAACTTTGATTATGAAATTCTGATAATTTATCTGCTTGAAAATGAATTATATAAAACCTAAATAAGTTTTTGGACCTATGGGATCTAAGCAAAATAAAGCGTATGATGCTAAGTATAAATAATTAGACTGATATTGAACGGGGGCTTCATAGAAACGCACCTTCTCTTGTACTTTTAAGGGGTTTATAATTTTGTCAATTATAACCATCTAGAATTTTAACATTTAAAGGGAGTGATCGGCTATGTATATTAGTTGAACTGAGACTGCAGTATTATTAAGACATTGTTTAGGATTCATTTGAGACCTATCAGACGTTTTTACGGTACATATTTACGGTACATATTTACGGTACATATTTGTTCAGCAAGAGCGCAAATGCGATCTTTAAAATCCTGATAGATTGTCCATTGTGGAGGTATGATTTAAATTATTCTATGACGACCACGATGTAACACAAAATTCTACAGTAAACTTATTAGTTGTTTAGGAACAGGTTGAGAAAATACAAATTAAATCTAATCCTTGAAAATTGAAAAAAATGTTGGTTTCTGTAATATTTCAATGTTTAAAACCATTTTCTGTAGATGGAATTTTTAATGAAAAGACAGCATTTAAAGAATTTGAAGAAATCTGCGAACAAATTAGTAAAGAATAAGAAACTCAATAAAATAATGAAAAAGAAACAATTGATTTTAACATTGAATTATTGGCAATATTCTAATGAGAAATATGTATTTAAGTATCTTTTTAGTTTACTGTAGAAATTATGTTACAGTTTTCTTCTTCGTTTTTCAACGAATATGCACCGCAAAAACGTCTCATACAAATCCTAAAAAATTTCTCAATAATGCTGCAATCTCAGTTCAACTACCAATTACCATACATTACAGGTCACTCCCTTTAACATTTAAAATTTTTAATAAAAATCTTAGCATTTTAAATCAAAGTGAATAAATACTAAAGTGGACCAAACTCATAGTTGGATGACGACATTTTATGTCCCAAGTATTTAGAAATATGTATATATATATATATATATATATATAAATTGGTCTGTATACGGAGTGTACAGTACAACTCCCCCCTGAATACGCCTCTGGATGATAACATAGATCTGTTTTAAGAAATTTACAAACATATTTTAAAATGGAGTGAGATTTGAAAGAACAAAACTTAGCAGTTTTAAAGATAAATTCCTTTAGAATTAGAAGTGCCAGGCAAAATCAATGAATTGATTAAGCGACTAAATAGTATTTACATATTAACTACGTAGAAACTTACAAAAAATTTTGATTTTTAACTACGTAGAAACTTACAAAAAATTTTGATTTTAAATCGTGAAAATTTCGAAGTTCTATCTGAAGACGACATTTACATGGGTCTTTAGTCTATTTTTTCTAGTCTTTACTTTCCAAACGAAATCTTTTCATGAAATTATTTCCATACCAAATAAAACCTTATGGCCCAACCTGTCGTCGTTTCCTTAATCTGTTCCACTTTAGTATTTATTCACTTTGATTTTAAATCCCCTTTTCTAAAACCGTGAAAATTTAAAGTGCGTTAACCTGAATTAAAGCAGAACGTTTTGTGTGTACAACATGCAGATATAATCTTTTCTCTATACTTGATATATTGCTACTTTAAACACGCGTACCATATTTATAAAAAATTTAATTTTCTGTTAACAGTTTATTTAATCAAATACTTTTATGTATTATCGATTATATAAAAAAGTAATAGAAAAAAATGATTGTATAATATTTTTTCTGTATAGAAGTTAAGATCAATGGGGTTAAGAGATGTGTCAATGTGTGCAAATGACAACATGCATTGGAAAGACTAAACAAATATGTAACGAAAAAGTCTCAAAAACATCTGCGTAATTTGTAATCAAATAAATAATCTTAAGAAAGAGAATGGTTGAAATAAGTTATGGTGTGTTTCCTAGAATCCGTGTGTAGTTGGGTAACAGATACTTGAGTCATCTAGTGGAAATATAAAATAACAAACTTTTTAGATGTCAAAAATTGAAATAAGTTAAATTTCATTTCCTTTCCTCAAAAACAAACGTAACTTTTAAAAAAAAATTAAAATTTTTTAAACCAGTGAAATCTATGGATTTCAGGGGGTTTTCAGGCCCCAACGGGTTGCCGAGCCCTTCCCCCTGGAATTTAAAAAAATCTAAGCAGAACACTTTAAACCTTTGACTGATTAAGGATGACATACTTTTATTTACAGAAACCCTTGTCATTTTCAAAGACTTTGCTTGCAAACTAGTTTTTTTCAAGAAATATTAATATTTTCTGCCTAGAAGTCGCAGAACAAACAATTTTTATATTCAAATTTTTAGGATATTTGGAATTTTCGAGAAATTTTATTAAACATAAACTGCTTCGAGGTCACAGTGTACGCTAGAGTACACTCCAGTTAAATGTCAATTTGAACACAATATTAGAGATAAACACGCGGGGTTCTCTACCCTCGATTATCAGTCAAAGATTCCCATCTTTGTCTGGAAGTCATTAAAAATTACTGTTGCAGTCCCTTTTAGGAAAGACTAAAGCAGAAATTCATCCGAAGTCGAAAAATATGGGCCACGGGTTCCAAAAAGACGACTTAAAATCTTAAAACACAAATGTATGTTATAACAATCTGTGCAGTCACTTAAAATAACGATAACAGTCCTTTACAAACAATTAATTTTGGTTAAAGATAAAAGATGAGTTAAGAACATATTTTGTTATTTTTTTCCTGAAATACTAGAAGTAAACACAGAACTGATGTTTTTTCCATCGTTTAAATCAACCTTATCTGTATAGTTGGTTCCTGCTAGGGCGGGGTTACAGACTAAACTGACCAGAGTATAGCTTCTAGATTTTCATACATCTTTTCATTTTAAAGTAACTTTCACTGCTTGAAAAGGGCAGGGGTAAATACTTTTTTCACCCCCCCCCCCACAATGTTTTATTCTTTCTACAATTTGTCATGATTAGATATAGAAAAATTTGTAGATTTTGAATTTTTGTTACTCAAAAAAAAACATCATTTGAATTCATTATGCGGAGGATTTGTCCTACCAGTAAATCTAACGCCTCGTTTGTTGAATTAAGTTTAAATTCAATAATTAGAGAGGTGTAGACAACTTGGTAAAAGGGCTAATCCCAAAAATGACCCTCTTTGCTTTGGCTCTGGCACTTTTATACAGGGTGTCCCACGAAACATGTCAATAGCAAGACGACTTGAAAGTCGTCTTTGGTATTTGAATTTATTTGTGACATTTAGTCTTCTATCTACTTTAACATGTATGATTCTTGAAACAATTATCACATAATTCTCCTAGCCCTAGCATTTCCAAAAAGTGGTCTGCGTTTTTTGTGCTTTCAATATTACCGGAGATATAAAGAGTTTGGTTCAGATTTCAATTTTGTTAAATAAAAGCAAAATTGTCGAAATCTAAACGAAATTCTTCATATCTCGGGCAATATTGAGAGCACAAAAAATTATATCAAAAATCAAGACGACATTCAAGACGTCCTGCATACTGTCATGTTTTGTGGGATTTGATGAAATGACTCAAAGGATATTTTTTTGTAAAAAAAGCATGTATTAGGTTTTTGGAAATAAAAGCTTTGAATTAAAGGGACTGATTTCAGAACATTACCCAGAAACCTCTGTCTGCACAATGATGAATGAGATAATCTTATTTTTCTATAAAAGTGAGTTATAGATCAGTGGAGCCAAGAGAGGAGATTGGTAGAAAATAACACATTTTAAGATAGAACAATGACGAAATCTTTCTCATTTATACTAATGCGCAAATGGTACCGTTGTAAACTAAGGAAAGTAGATTCTTATACATGGTATCCCACGAAACATGACAGTAGCAAGACGACCTGTCGAAAGTCGTCTTTAATGTTTGCATTTATTTTTGACAGTAAGTCGTCAACCTAATTGAACATGCATGATTCTTGAAATAATAACCACAAAATTCACCTAGTTCTGGCCAAATGGGGTCTGCCTTTTTTTTAAGCTGTCAATACCGGAGATATTAAAAATTCGTTCAGATTTCAATTTTGTTAAATGAAACCAAAATTGTCGAAAGCTGAACGAAAATTCTTAATATTTCGGGTAAAATTGAAAGCACAAAGAAGCGGACCATATTTTGGAAATCCCAGGACAACTGGTATTTTGTGATCATGAACTCTAGAATTTTACTTCTAAAATATGGTTGACAAAAATGCAGCAAATTCTTTCAAACATCAAAGACGACCTTCAAGTCGTCTTGTTATTGACTAGAACTAAAATGGGAAAAGCATGAGCTATATCTACATCACAGATACACAGACTGCTTATCTCCTTTCACAGGGGCTACGTTGGCCTAAGTTGACCCGGCACGAAATGCTACGTTTTTACGATAGGTTTTAGAGTGCCATCTCACGGCCACTTGTTGAACATAATACCTATTCAGGGGTTAAGTTTTACAATTTTTAAAGAAATACTCCAATTTTAAACATGAAACATAAAATTTATGAATTCAGTCTTTTTTTTTTGAAGATTTTGTGTTTCGTATCCAAAGGATCCCTTTAATATTCCTTGAATACAGATGTTTGCTGATTGGTCGTGTACAGTACTTGTACACAATAGAACATGCTGTGGAAAATATCGCATATTTTAGCTGATAATCGATCTCTTTAACTCTCTTATCTATGATCTACATATATTAAATTGAATGCTAATTCTTTAATTTCTATCAGATATTATATAAAGTAAAATTTGATATAATATTCCTCAGTAGAGTAAACTCTGAAAATGTAATATTAAACATAACTGCGCTCTACAACAGAGCTAAGGATGCTTTGGAGTCTGGAATATGATAGAATGAAATTGTGAATTTTACCCCATTCATGTTTTTTCGAACACATTCTTTAAAATATACATCTATCAAGTAAGTTTATCATTTGTAAAGATTATCTTAAAATGTACGAGTGAATGAGTGTATCTGAGCCCTTTTTACTTCATAAGGGCCTACATCTTTTAAACCACTGTGCCCCCCCCCCACTTTCCAACGTACAATTCAGCTTTCTGGTATATCAGATATATGCTTAAATATAATGACTCTGGTCATTAAGGACACATTTATTAGATAAAAGGCAGGATGTTAATATATTGTGTATACACTGGATACACTACACGCAAACATAAAGTTAAATTCATTTCACTAACCACGAAAAATATTGAGAAAAAAGTGTAAATTTCACTTTTAGTCCTTGATTTGAAAAACAAAACATTTTTTTACGATTATTGAATACAATTAAAAATTTAAATCTAGGCTCAATCGTATCGAAGTTGCTTTACATGTAAAAACGTATTGAAGGGAAAGTATAAAGAACATCTTGATAATTATGAAATTCAATTGAATGAAACTCAAAAAATTGAATTCCAAAATTAAAAATCTTTTTTTCTTTTAAATGTTTGATAACGGATAAACCCAATTGTACATTTGTTGCTGCACAGTTTGAAACTAGATCAGATTGCTTTATATTTATATATATTTATGCATCTCGAAAAGGTGGAGCCCGAATAGTAACAAATTTAAGTAAATATAATGTATTTAAAGATAAGGTACAAAGTGCAAATATATATTTTATATTATATGCTGTCTCAAAGTTATTTAAATGAGAAAAATTGCAGAAGCATGATTATTTGTTGTCCAATTTTGCAAGTTTTCATTGCAAAATGGTTGTCCCTGACTTGTCTATTATGAAGAATAAGAACGTAAAAGATCTGTACAGGCCAATTTTGTAAAAAAAACTTTTTTTTCGGTCACGTAATTGTAAATAACCTTTAGTATGAGACTAGGATTTGGTATACTTTTAGTCCATTATTACACGTGTTATATAATCCGTAGAGATGCTGCACGCTGGGATTTATGTATGTATTTACATGTAAATACAAAGTCGAGTAATCTCTGTTTTTGTTACTTTTAACGTCCGATCATAACATATGAACACCATATCCGATTTGCTTAGAAATATGATTTATAATAGGAAAAGCTGGGTTCCTATACTACTTATATGTATTTATATATATACAAATATATAAATTTATAAATGGTTGTATGTCTGTATGTTACACGTGAATACATCCTCAATAGTGCATTCTTCAAGGTCTTTTTAACTTAATGGCCCTAAATATTTTATTTTTCATTTATATAGATCAATTGGCAGGGCCCACCCTGTAGAGTAAGTAAATTATATGCCATTACATGCGACGTCATGACCCCAAAAACATATATAGTGAGAAGTCAAAAAATAAAAAAAGATATAAAAGGAAGCGTAGTAAAGCTTAAAAAAACACACATTGACATAAATAAAAGAGTAGTAAAGTCTCGAAAACACACACCGACATAAAAAGAGTAGTAAAGCCTCAAAAACACACTGACATTAATTAGACATAACTAAATCCACAGAAAAAACGCATACTGACTTGAATAGAAGAGTAGTTGAGCCACACACAAAAAAACTGACAGATAGATAAAAATACACACTGACATGAATAAATGAGTAGTAAATACTCACAACACACACACTGACATGAATAAATGAGTAGTAAATACTCTCAACACACACACTGACATGAATAAATGAGTAGTAAATACTCACAACACACACATTGACATGAATAAAGGAGTAGTAAATACTCACAACACACACATAGACATGAATAAAGGAGTAGTAAAGCCGCTAGTATATATTTATTCCAGATATAAGTCCTGTGTGGGAAACACTGTGTCTATAAATGTTTTATAGAACCGATGAAAAGCTCGCCTGAAAATAGAAAAATTCAAACAATTAATTTTTAAAAGTAATTCATTAAAAAAATCATTGACAAGGTCATAATTTGTGGCTTATTTGTTTCTAGTCATCTATCTATAAATTTTGCTTGTCTGTCTGTTTGTTTGTATCTAATGTTTCTAATCCATAATATTAAATAGCTCTTTAAAAGTGTCAATATAAAGATATTTTACCCGTACGCTTCAGCTACGCATCTTGTTGAATTCTCACTGCTAAACACGTGACATGCGTATTCTTGTACGCAGGGTGACGGATGCTAAAAATAATTTTTTAAATGTTACACTTACAACTAGCTTCTTTTTATACATTGTGATACGTTCAACTCGCGAGATCATTTTCTTTTTAAACTCTTCATGAACGTTTTTACAAGTTTTTTGTTAGTCTTTTAAATGGTTGAAATTATAAAATAATATTCATTCATTCATAATCAATTAAGATCAAAAGTAATTCCTACATTGAAATCTCAACAATTAACTGAAATTATACCTTCGTAATAAAAGCAAAGTATCTGTGATCTTTAGGATGGAAACCACAGAAAGTTACATTTTTCAGATGGAAGAAATATTCTTGGTTCGGATCCCCGCACACCTTATCCTGAAAGTGTTCAATATACAAGCGGTCAGGAAAAAAGAGGTCAGGATACAAGAGGTCAGGATACAAGAGGTCAGGATACAAGAGGTCAGGATACAAGAGGTCAGGATACAAGAGGTCAGGATACAATAGGTCAGGATACAAGAGGTCAGGATACAAGAGGTCAGGATACAAGAGGTCAGGATACAAGAGGTCAGGATAGAAGAGGTCAGGATACAAGATGTCAGGATACAAGAGGTCTGGATACAAGAGGTCAGGATACAAGAGGTACAAGAGGTCAGGATACAAGAGGTGAGGATACAAGAGGTCTGGATACAAGATGTCAGAATACAAGAGGTCAGAATAAAATAGATCAGAATACAAGAGGATTTGCCTTGCAATAGGTCAAGTTCAGGTGGTCAGTAAGATGGTATATATAACAGAAAAACGTTGCATGCTTAAAAGTTCATAATGTCATGTTTTTATAAATGAATACTACGCACCCCAGCAACTGTTTTGTTCACCATTTTGATTCCTTTCTCTCCTATTTCAAGTACACATGTATTCTTTTTATTCATTTGGGCACTTTTCTTTACAGCCTAACAACACAAATATATTTCTTTTTAATTCTTATTGTTCGTTATATATTTTTTTACGTTGTTACATTGTTATCATTGTTACATCATCATCATCATCATCATCATCATCATCATCATCATTATTATTATTACTATTATTTATTATTATATTATTATTATTATTATCATTATTATCTACAGTGTCTTTCTAATGGTTTGTCTTTTTTGAATCGGTCTATATTATTATAAACACAAGGTTAATTTATTTGAATCTTTTATTTTTGAATTCCACAGGTTTGGACATTAGAGAAAAGATATCAATGATCTCCATTCATCATCACTTTTTGCTTGCTTGAGCTCTGTTCAAATTGAGCTTCATTCTTCTGAAAGGCACCGGAGGTGATGAACAGCTTCCTTCACATCTTCTGATTCCAGAGACTCTGCAAAGGACTCCACGTGCTTCACAGTGCAGAACTCCAGAATCAGCAGCCCAAAGGCGACAAATCTGGACTCTTTGTTGGCCAGGGATGATCCATCATTTAACTGATAAATCTGTTGTTTAACTAGTCTTTTAAATACTCCATTAGCAGAGCTTAATAGGGTTACTCATACAGATATTGATGACCTGAAACATAGTGTGGAGCCCTTTGCAGAGTCTCTAGAATCAGAAGATGTAAAGAACGCTGTTCATCACCTCCGGTGCCTCTCAGAAGAATGGAGCTCAATTTTAGCAAAGCTCAAGCAAGCACAAAGTGATCATGAATGGAGATCATTGATATCTTTTCTCTAATATCCCAACCTATAGGATTCAAAAATGTAAAATATAAACGATTTAACTTTTTGCTTATATTAATATATAGCGATTTAAAAAAGACCAACCATTAGAAAGACACTGTCTATAAAATAAAATTAGACATTCACATATATATATATATATATATATATATGTTGCCTATAGCTTATAACCTGAATAATAACTTGAGTTCCTTTATGCCTAGTACATCTAACACTACCGAGATATTCAAGAATATATCTAAATATTCAAGATATATATCCAGAATATTAAGAATATATCCAGGATATTCAAGAATATATCTAAATATTCAAGATATATATCCAGGATATTAAAAAGTTGTCGAAAAATTGACATATGAAAACAAAAACTGTCAGAGACTGTTCAGATATTGAATGAATTAGAGCTGAAGAGGCTTAATAAGGCCCATTAAACCTGTTGAGTAGGGCAACATTTAATTAAATATAGCATTTACTCTCAGAAAAGGAATATAGATGCAATATTTCTTATAGATCTGGTTTAACATGGACCTGCATAAATAAGTTTTTAAATTAGCTGGTTTTAATGAAAATCTGTGCACACCAAAACCTAGCCTTTTATAAAGGAATGTGTATTTAAAGCTTTATATTGTTATTAAGTAAAATGTAGGAAAGTATTATTTAACAAATTAAATATCAAATAAAAGAAAAAAAGGACATCTAGTAGACGAAGGTTAAAATTACTATTTTTCCTATTGTTTTTTTGTGTGAAAATTGAGACTAGACCTCTCATTCACAATTTTTAATTAGTGCGATATGGAATATACAATAGAAAAAATTTCTATGGTCCTGCTCACCTCTCCTTTCTCTCTTCTGCAGCACTTGGATCAAAATCATTATATTCTACATCTACCACATGCGCTTCAGGAAATATACCCTGCAGACCTGTACGCAGGTTTATACCTTAATCAAAGATAATATTTGTTTATTTTTAGCGTAATTTTTAGACAACTACAGTATCTGTAACGCTTACAAACTCAAAAATGAAGCCTGTTTTTAAATAATTTTTCCTCTCTTTTTTCGCAAACAGTCCCTTTAAAATGTTTGTTTACCTTCACACCAATAATCCTCAGCTTCCTTCTGAACATAAACAGGATCTCCGATATCTATCCCGATCTCATCATGATGCCTCGGAACAAACCTTGTATAGAAAACAAATAAAAATGTTTTTATTTTTTATTTTTTATTGCCTATGTAGACCTCTATGTGTAGGATCTAGAAGCTCTATTGCCTATGTAGACCTCTATGTGTAGGATCTTGAAACTCTACTACCTATGTAAACCTCTATGTGTAGGATCTAGAAGCTCTATTGCCTATGTAAACCTCTATTTGTAGGATCTAGAAGCTCTATTACCTATGTAAACCTCTATGTGTAGGATCTAGAAGCTCTATTACCTATGTAAACCTCTATGTGTAGGATCTAGAAGCTCTATTACCTATGTAAACCTCTATGTGTAGGATCTAGAAGCTCTATTACCTATGTAAACCTCTATGTGTAGGATCTAGAAGCTCTAATCTATTTGCTGCTGTAGAGAGGGAAGGAGATATAGGAGATAGTATAGAGTTTAAACCTAGAAGATATTATATATTTATATTGTCCAATGTTAATGAATATTTATGTTCCCTGAACTATTGTATACCTGGTTCCCTGTAAACTTGTCTAGAATGTTCCTCTGGGGAATGTGAAGTAGAATTCCCTGAATCTATATCCCCTCCTCCTCCTCCTCCTCCCCCAATATCCTCATCCTTATCTACTAAACATCATAATAGAGATTAATGAAATTTCAGATATTTCCTTTCAGCAAACAAAATCAAATCAATTATAAGATAAAGGAATCAAAAGATTTTATATAATTAATCCATAAGAATCTATAAATTTTTAGTGGTAAAACGAATCAATCCTTTATTTATAGTTATTGTTTTATTTTTTATTTTGTTACTCTTACTGTTGACTAGATGAAGGAGAAGGGCAGGGGGTAAACATGAACTTTCAGAAGATTCAGCTATACCACTCAATACATCCCTGAACAGTTTATATTAGAGAATTCAGCTATACCACTCATTACATCCCTATATAGTTTATATTAGAGGATTCAGCTATACCACTCAATACATCCCTGAACAGTTAATATTAGAGAATTCAGCTATACCACTCAATACATCCCTATATAGTTTATATTAAAGGATTCAGCTATACCACTCAATACATCCCTGAACAGTTTATATTAGAGGATTCAGCTATATCACTCAATACATCCCTGAACAGTTTATATTAGAGGATTCAGCTATACCACTTAATACACCCTTTACAGTTTATATTAAAGAATTCAGCTATACCCCTCAATGCATTCCTATATAGTTTATGTTAAGGGATTGAGCTATACCACTTAATACACCCTGTACAGTTTATATTAAAGAATTCAGCTATACCACTCAATGCATCCCTATATAGTTTATATTAGAGGATTCAGCTATACCACTCAATACATCTCTGTACTTACTTTTAGAGAGGACAAAACAATTTTGATAGAGAATAAATAAAACTATTTATATCTCATTCGAATACATTCCTATATAGTTTATATTAGAAGATTCAGCTATACCACTCAATACATCCCTTTATAGGTTATATTAGAGGATTCAGCTATACCTCAATACATCCCTATACAGTTTATATTAGAGGATTCAGCTATATCACTCAATACATCCCTATATAGTTGATATTAGAGGATTCAGCTATACCACTCAATACATCCCTATACAGTTTATATTAGAGGATAAAGCTATACCACTCATTTCATCCTTATAGTTTATATTAGAGGATTCAGCTATACCACTCAATACATCTCTGTACTTACTTTTAGAGAGGAAAAAAAAATTTAATAGAGAATAAATAAAACTATTAATACCTTATTCGAATGTTTTTGTCAGAAAATTATTTTAGAAATGTCATAATTGTCTAAATAATAGTTTCTATTCTCTAATATGTCCAAAAATGGTGTCTGAATGTTATTGTACATATAATGTCGTAGAAATATTATTGTAGAATTAATGTTATCTCAATGTTGTTGTTTTCGGCGTGTCTTTGTCTTAATAACGTTGGCTAAAGATGCATGAAAATATATAATGTTTTGTCTGAAACTAAAATATATATTTGTTTCTATAGTTTTCTACTAAAACACAATGCAGATGTGTTATTTAATGTAGGAAATTTTAGTAAAACTTTCTTTTTTTATTCGATCCTAACCTAAAACTTCATACATTTTCATGCTTTTAATTGTGTCATTTTTAACATTCTAGTTAGCACGAAGTGATTTAGAACTCATTTTGAACCCATTTTCACCTATCAAAGAGACTGTTTTGTTTACTAAAGAGGGGATTGTCCGATTTACAATGAAACATTTCTAAAAAGTGTTTTATTCTGTCAATTTTCTTTATTTTCTAAGATAAAAAAGAAATCCGCAAGTCACTTGCATACAGGAACCACAATTGAAAATGATCAAGTGTTAGTAAGAGGGAAAAGTATTTCTTATCCATAAGACAAGGGTTTAAAGGGATCAATTGTGAAAAAGAAACTCCCCACTTCTTTAAATAGAGAGTTATCTGAAATTACGTCAACGTTATTACACCTATTACACCTGACTAGGAGAAAGGTTTTATGAATCCTACCTTGTTAGTTGATTGATTGATGAGTCTAATTGTCTGAAAGGATTGGTACTCGTCTTTGGCTCTAGAATAAATCAGCTGCAAATTTTTATTAGGTTAGAGAATAGTTTGTGGCATTGTTTTTACCTGGTTTGGGTTGGTCGACTACGGATCTAGTTTCCCAAGATGGCGTCGCTGCAGTAAGCTCATCAAATAGAGTAGCGTTCTGTAGCAAACCTTCCAAAGCTGAATATTTTAAATAAATTATATTATTAAATATTAATTTGTTAAAAATATGTATATTCTAGATATATCTGGTATTAATCAAAAAATAAAATATGAGGATTGTATTTATCATATCCAAAAGTATACTCTACGTAAAGATGACCAAAAACAAACATATATTTTTGGCAAATCCTAAAAAATTCATTTGTATTTCGAATTATATTTGGGTTACTGCGCATTTGTGTAAACTGTAAACTAATAATAAAAAAACTACAGAAGGCAGTAAACTTCAGCTAACTGTTATATTAAATGGCTCGACTTTTGTAAGAAACTGGACAACATTGATTGAAAGAGAGTAATTTCGCGGATGAAAATATATAGAGGATAAGAACCATTATAACGAAAAGAAATACAATATTAAATAAATATAAGATTGCTTAGATATCATTTTCTCATATCAGAATTTTATTAGTCCTAATGTATGTCATTTTTCTATTAATAAACTTACGCTTTTTGTCCTTGGGTATATCCGGTAACTTCCGCCGTTTTCGTTTCTTCCTCCAATCCTCGTCCAGGTTTAACCTCATATCAACCTCTGCCTGGTTGAGGCCGGCCTCTGCCTGTTTAGTATCACCATCCTCTGTATTTCGGTTATCCTCAGCTATAAGGCTTTCAAACATACTTCTGCAGAAAAAAATGTTATAATAGAATTTCAATTCGCAACATGCGGAAAAATAGCGCTAAACTTGATCTTCAGCTATCTGCATAAAATAAGAATAAAAACTCATTTTTAACATTGTAAAATGTTCAACAAAATTTGTTCAAACCTTCCTAAAATTTTATAAAATGTTGTTGCACATAGAACCCCGTCAGTCATAAACTCACAAATAAATAAAATTGCCAAAACTTTTTGGCTGAAAATAGATTTAGTTGAAAGAATTTTCATTGAAAACTCAAAACAAAAATATTTAATAAGTGACCTCTGTAAGAGGACTAACCTTCCCATCTCCAGTATCCTCTCTCTATCCTCGGATGTTATAATCTCGTCTGGGTCAATATATGGGTCAACCTCCGACCCAGGACATTCGGGGCTCATGTCAAATTCGTCAAATTGGAGAAAATCAGCTTCTAGAATATAATAGATTTTTAATGCTCTGCAGACAAAATTTAAGACAAAAAACGATAACAATTTAAAATTTTGAATCCAATATAGATTTAAAGGGTATAAAAGTTTTTAATTAAAGGTTGAATTTGACATTTCAGCAACTTGAGTAAATTGTATACCTTCATTGTCTTCTTCTAACTCTAGGCTGTACTGGGGTTCTAACGGCTCAAGCCTAGATACAAAATATTATTAAACCATTTTCAACCTGAATCACATATTTGCTCTTTTTTACCAAATTTATTTTGTTTTATTTTATTTTTATTTTATTTATTTTTCAATTTTCTTTTCACATAGCTATCTATTCCTTTTTAATTCCGCCAATTCGAATTTTCTTTTAATATTGTTATAAGTTTGATCTTTAAAATTCATGAGTTTGATTTTTTAATGGCTTGTTTGATTGTACAATAAATTGTTCTATTAATCAATAAATTATTCGATTTTTTCAATAAATTATTCGATTTTTCGATTAATTGTTTGGTTATTCAAGAAATTTTTGCATCAATATCAAGTTATCAACATTAGAAAATTTTTGCATTCTCATTATTTATTGGTAATCCTTTCATTTTTAAATTTAGATTTAGATCTTTTTTATCTATGCTGAATATGTATTTTTCATTTGAACCGTGAACCATGTCACGCCAAGTTGACGCCAAAGCGGAATTGACAATTAATACTCAAATAAAAAAAGTACCCAATAATAAATAAAAAATGATGAAACGGGTTCGAAAGTGAAGACTCACACACCATTAACACAAAAAAGTTATAACCCTGATATTCCAAAAATATATTATCCTTACATTAAAGATTAATGATTTAATAATCATTATGAAATGTATTTTGATAAAATAAGATAATTTGAGGGAAAAGATGACCTTGAGTTTGATATTTTGTATTCTGAGTCTGAATCTGAACCAGTGAGACCGGTAGAATCTGACCCATGTCTCAGTGACTTCTCAAGGAATTCAAAAGTTGGAGATTCTCGCCATTTATCTCTGAACATATGAAAAAATTATGTTCAAATAATTCATGATTTACAATAAGTATGTAAATATGTTTTGACAAAATTGATATTTTTTTCCGTTTTAGATAAAAGAGTTTGTCCATCTTATTTTTAACAACTTGCAGTCGCAGCTTTTCTAAAATAACCCTTTGATTGTTCCAGGCCTTTACATCAACAAAATGGTTGGTCCAATAAATCTGTTCACCCAGAAAAAATAAAATGACTACATCTCTTCAGATTTGAAAGATATTGTTATTTTTGTCACTATTTGATTAACAAAAGAAATTGTTTCAGAGAATTATCAATTTCTTTAAAAAGTTTTTAAAAAAAATCATTGATTAACTAGATGCTTCTTTTTCAATATATTTATTATTTTATAAATTTTCTTGAATTATTCTATAAGCTCACCTTTGTAATTTATCAGGCATCCTTTTATCCTCTATATAACTCCTAATATAAAATTGATCACAATTGTTATCGTAGATGAATTTTTTCACATTTCTTGTAATCCTCGAACTTTACCTATATTTTCTGTTTTGTGAATGATATGATATATTGGTGTTTGTGTATATCCAATATATTTCCTGTATATAGTGTATAAGTGTATCCTATTCTCTCTGTACTTCCTGAATACTTCTTATATCTACTCCTTTAGCCGGAAATTAAAAAAATATCGTTAAAGAAAATTCGAGCGGAAATTTAATTTTTGAGGTCTATGCATGCGGATGCGGTTAGATTGTAACCATAGACAAGATAGGTATAAAAGAATAATATAAATCTAAAAATGTACTCCTTCTATAACCTCTATTCTAATCTTCCTGTACTCCCTGTGTAAAATATACTTTACTCCATGTGCTACATTGACCAGAATATTTCATTGATTTTTTATTTGAAAGATGGATCCCATGTCAGACTTTGACATCCGTCTTGTGTTTACATTACCGCCCAGAAACGGTACACTGCAAAACAAAAGACGCGTACACCTCTGAAATAACTTTTCTTGCCTTATAACCTTGGTATCACCTAACTGTATACCTTTCAAGAATGAAGTTCTCCCGTATACCACAGAGTCTTTCTCCGAACTCAACCTGAGCAAAGAACAATCAGAAGAAAATATTGTTTTTATGCAATATTTTCATGCAGGGTTTAATGGGAGAATGCACAACCGGAAACCTTTTTTATTAAATAAATGATGCTTAGCAAAGCTACCTCGAATGTCGATAAATAAGAAAATTATAAAAAAGAATTGGGTAATGTTGCAAATAAAGTTTATTTGTCTGATATCGACTTGTGCAAACTTAAAATTGCCCAAATAGATAACACTTGCAATAAATCTGCAATATAATAAAAAAACAAAAACAATATAATACACTTTGTCGTAAAAATTTTAGAGTTTTACCTTTCTCTAAAATTAAAAAGGATGTGGGGTTGGATTTCCTCATTACGAAGGGATAAAGAGGAGGGAATCCAAGGTTCCCCCCCCCTCCTTCAAGGGATAAAGGGGAGGGAATCCAGTGTCCCCCCCCTCCTCTGTTCCGTTAAAAAGATCTTACAGGTTGGACGTGCAATTTATAATCATGTCTATTAGTTAGGGGCCAATCATTTTTCAAAAGTTGCATGATCCGAACCAGTAAAGGGATTGCTTGGTGTAGTGTTTACTCGTACCAGCCTGTCTAGTGTTCCCAGTATATGGTTGCATGATCCGAACCAGTACAAGGATTGCTTGATGTAGTGTTTACTCGTACCAGCCTGTCTAGTGTACCCAGTATATGGTTGACCCAGCGCGTTTTATGCAACATAATGAGGCGGGCGGAAAAATTGTGATCTATTGTTCTTTCCATTTTGAATGGGTGTTCTTAATCTAATCTGACAAATTTAGACCCGAACTTCAATTATCCGTAAAGTAATTTTTTTCATTTTTCCGTTTTTTACCCCTCCCCACACGACGAAATTATAAAACGATTCCAATAATACCAAAGAAAAATTATCCAAGAAATCCATTTATATAATATACATATAAAGTTACTTAATTTGCTTTATATATATATTTATATATATACTTTGCTTGTCTGCCTGTTTTTATCCAATAGACTTCTAAACAGCTGAATGATCGGGCCCTTTTTTATGGGACCTTACATGACCCAAGGAAAGGTTCATGGATGCCCAAAATTGCAAAGAATGTGTGTCCAAAAGTTTTTGATTTTTGTAATATTTTGAAAATGCGCGAAAAGTCTTATGAAATACGCGAACTTTTTTGTCTTTATTGTTGTATATTCTACACAGAGAAGATGCTCACAGATAGAACCACAATAAAAAGTTAAAATAGATGATTGGCGCAAATCTCCCTAAAAGCCTAGTTACTAAGAAAGCCCTCAAAGACACTGGTGTTGTTAAACATTTAACTCGCTCTCTTATTAAACCATTATTTGAAAATTATGTTGCTATGTAGTTGATAAATATTAAATTTCTTTGGTTAAAGTTTATAGTTTCAGATGTGTTTTATGTTTTTTTTTTTAAACTTTATTATCTTTATTTAAAGGGAGAGTCTGGCTAGACATGGTAGTTGAGCTGAGAACGCAGTATTGTATTGAACTTTTTTTGGGATTCATTTGAGACCTAACAGACGTTTTTACGGTGCAGATTTGTTTAGCAAGAGCTCAAATTCAATCTTTAACATACACGTAGGCTGTCCATTGTGAATTGAAGATTTTGAAAATAAGTTTCTTAAAAAATTTATTAATGAAGACCACGAAAAATGCAACAAAAATTCTACAGTAAACTAATTAGTTGTTTAGGAACTGCAGTTGAAAAAATAAAAATTAACTCCTATGACCGAAATTAAGTAATTTAATTTAGTTATCGGTTCAGGTAATGTCTCATTGTTTTTTGACATTAGTTTACTGTAGAATTTGTGTTACCTTTTTTTGTCCTCGTTATTGAAAAAAAAACGATTCTCAAAATCATCCCTCCAAAATGAACAACCAGTCAGGATTTTAAAGATTGAATTTGCGCTCCTGAGATGAAATTTAAAGAATTTGAGCCGCGGTTTAAATCCGCCAAAACCCGGTTTAAATTTAGCCGCCGTCTTAAATCTTGAAACATTTGATACAATTTTAAGTGGAACCAACCATATTTAAGCCGCGTTTTAAATTTAAACTGCCGCTCAAATTCTTTAAATTCGGCCATTGCTGAACAAATCTGCACCGTAAAAAGTCTAAAAGGTCTCAAATGAATCCTAAAAATGTCTCTACAAAACTGTATTCTCAGCTCAACTACCCTTAAACAAGAAAACTCGTTTGTTTTTCGAATTATTACCTTTTCTAAGAAAGATTTGTTTTCTTCTAGCGGGGTGATAGCATGGGCCAACCTGTATATATATATATTATCATGTTTACAGAAAATATCTAGACATATGTTCCTAATAATAAGTATTTGTCTGCAGTTTATTTCTTTGTTTAGATTTCAGATGAAAACTTATAAACCCCTTTGTCTCAAATTTTAATTAGGGAACTCAGTAGAACCATGTACGGGAATGTTCTGAGTCAGGTTTAAATATTCTAAATTAAGTGAGCTGACTGTCATAGAGGAAGAATAGTTTCCATCTCTGGGTCCATAATATCTTTGGCTTGTCACACTAGCAAGGAAATTACACTAAAACTTGTCTATGCATGATACATACCTATGATATTTAATGTATCTATAGTGTAAGATATTCAGAATTAATAATGATATTGTAGTATTAAATTAATTTAAACTATATAAGTAAGATCAAGGGAAGATAAGAATGATTATGGGTTAAACCATGATATATATTTTCTAATTTTTCTAAGCCTTTTTCGATACTTTTTGGGATATATTTTGTATACATGATAAATACAAAGTACATACATCAGTAGCTTGGGAACCCAGTTTTGCCAGGATTTTTTCCTGTGGTTCGATTGAGTTATCTGATCAAAATTTTGAAGAAAATCGGTCCAGAGGTTCATGAGTTATGATCGGACTTCCAAACAAACATACAGCCAAGCAGCAGAGATTACACCACGTGCATACCATGCAATTATATATGATAAGCGGATTTTAACAATTCATTTTTCTTTCATTTACATTATTTTATCTATATAATAAAGTTCTTAGCTCATTCAAAAACCAAATTCCACGGGCAACGCCGGGGACTTCAGCTAGTCTTATTATATAACAATATTAGAAAAATCTTTTATCCAGCTTAATTTGATATACCTGATGGGTTTTCACTGAAAAAAAGAAACATGATACTTAATTCAGATAATCAGTGAATTCGATACCATGATAATTCTTACTTTCTCATTTTCTCATTTTTAGAATCCAAAAAACACATGTACACAAAGTAAAAATGTTGAGTTTTCAAAAAGGCTATTTACGTTAGAAATATTTTCCTTTCTTAATTAGTTCATGAGAGTTTAATGAAGAACCTGAATTTAGTTGAACCAAGTCCAACTCTTGTTAATTTGAATCAATTTTAGCTTATTGTTTCTTAATACTTTTCAGTTTTTGTTATCTTAAAAGTATTCAATTTTATGTTCGATTTTCAGTGGCGTATTCAGGCATTTGTCCGAGGGGGAGAGGGCTTTAAAAATCTTTCCAGGGGGCTCAGCACCCGTTGAGGCTTGGAAACCCTGGAAACTCCTTGGAAACCTCCAGAAAAACCTATGGAAACTCCTTGGAAACCTCCTGGAAACCCCTGTTTTAGTACGTACGTATATGAGAAGGGTGGAGCAGTGAACTGCTTAGGTAGAAAAGGATTCAGGGCTGAACCATCTTCAAACTCAAGTTCTATCATTCTTCTCTGAAATTAAATTTTCAAACTTTTTCCGATCAAACTCAGATTTTCTAATCCCTATATCTTTGAAACCTGATGGTGTAAACTTGTAAGATCTACGACACTAGGTTGCAAAGATATATGGATTAAAAGATCAGGGTTGTGGCGAAGACTCAACTCCTTTTCTTGTCCGACCCTTCATTGGTCTACCATGGTAAATGTATCTAAAAAAGAACTGGATTTTTGTCACAACTCTGATTTTCTTTTCCCTATATCTCTGCAACCCGATGTCGTAGACCTTTGATATCTCAAACTATGAATTCTTTCAGATAAAATTTTCTAAGTTTAAAATATCAAAGATTCAAGCAATCAGGTTTTAGTGTTTGTGTCAAAAACTCAATTTCTTTCCGGAAATCTGAGTAATTCTTAAAATAATATAATTCGATCAAGATTTCCGGAATAAGAATTGAAAATCTTCTCTATTAGGGACGTACAGTGGTAGGCGATTATATCATTACAATTGTTAACAAGCTTTTTTAGAATTACAAGTTTACAAGTAACTAAAGATTAGCTTTATTAATTGACAGCTTCTCTTGACTTAAATGTGCATGTATTTTTTAACTTAAAAAACAAAATGTTTTCAAAGATGTATTCATAATTCAGAAGTTATTATTATTATTATACTACACTTAAACTTTATCAAGTATACTTTTAATTGAATTAAGCCTTAAAATATGCAATATGCATTAAAATATACTTTGCATACTATTCTCAATATATCAAGCATATTTATTCCAGCTTAAGTTTTGATATTATTTTTAAGATTAGGGTGAAAAGTATAGAAACATATAAAAACAATTTGAACTTTTGAAAACTATAGTCTACCTCTCAAATCCTATCTATTTTCAAAATGTTTGAAATTCATGGTGGGAGTCCCCCTTCCACATTGAAACTTTGTTGTTTTTTTTTCGGCCCCCCCCCGCTAAACACTATCATTTTTAGAAATTTTCAAAAAACCAATAAAAATAATAAGTTTCAGTCACTAAACACAGCTATTTTCAAAACATAATTCAAAATATTTCAGAAAATTTTAAGTATTTCAGATAACAACGTTAAAAAGGTTTAAGTGAGATATCTGGATATTATTAGTATAAACAACGTTATCAGATATAATGCAACTATTTCGCTGTATCTGTATTTCTAATTTGTATACTGATAACACTGTGAGTTCGTCTCTCAACTATCTCAGAAAGTATCCCCCCACCTCCCTTCACCCCCTCCATTCCCCCCCCTTAACCTCCTACCGATGGTCCAGCCTCGCAGTGGACTCTGTAACCAGCTGGTAGGGCAGCTTTCAGGGCGGTTTCTCGTACACTCCAACATCTTGGGGGTGTGACGTTTCTGTAGATTCTGTCTTTAGGGGGGGGGGGTCACTTTTTTTGTAGATTCTGTCAGGGGATTTGTATATTTACGTTACACATGTAGTGTAATTATTTAAAACAGACGGATAGTATACGACATTGTGTTCGGATTAGTATGATTTTTTAAAAATATTGTTTTAATCATTGACTTTTCTGGTTTTCATCTAATATTCTGAAATTCAATATTTAGAGTTTTTCTTTAGATAAGTATACAAACAGCACGATTTTTTTAGCACATTCGTTGTAACTATTTTGTAGATACCATTTAAAGAGTGTTCGCGAAAAATGAAAAGAGGTATAGGTTAACGGCGAAAAATTAGCGCTTTTTATCGCTACAAATCTTACTTCTATCTGTTGCGTCTATAAGGAGAAAATGGTTAAAAACGACTCATATCGAAGAACGTATGTAATGCAACATTCAACTTCAATCTAATTCCAAACAAATCATTCAGATATTACAACCAATAATCATCGATAAATTTTCGACGCATACGTATATAGTTGATTTTTCAGAAATTTTTTTTTTTTATGATCTGATACAGTGAATCCCAGATATATGAATACATAGACTGTCATAAGTTTTTTGATAATTTTAAAGAAACTTCAAGATAAATTAATAGCCTAGAAATATGAATGCAATTGATGTACTAATGTTAAACTCATTTTTCCACGGAGTTTGATCTTTAATATGTAATACGACATTGTATTCATATATCTGTAGTTACTTTTGAAAACATTTACTTTTGTTTCGAGGATTTTTGATAACAAAGAGGACATTTTCATATTTTCAAGGAATGTATGAAAATATTATTCTAAAAAAACAAAATCAAAAATGTTATGAAATATCAACTATATACAAATGCGTCGAAAAATTATCGATGACTATTGTTAGTAATATCTGAATGATTTGTTTGGAATTAAGTTGATTATTTTAAGATCCGAGTTGAATGTTGCAACTTTCTGAATTTGTATGGACGCTGCGTTCTTCATTATGAGTGGTTTTTAACCATTTTCTTCTTATAGACGCAACAGATATAAGTAAGATTAGTAGCGATCAAAAGTGCTTATTTTTCGCCGTAAGTCTATAACCCCCCTTTCATTTTTCGCGAACACTCCCTTTTTACAACAAATTGAAATAAAACATTAAGATGATTTAATTATTATATTTCAAACGAAGAAAACTTGTGAAAATTGTCAAAAGTAACTAAATCTATTCCAGTTGAATGATCCAGGGTTGATTAAGCTGTAGTTTCAGATTACTTATGATGAGTTGACCGTCAGTGTTTATGTAATCAGAATGCAGGTCACCGTTTACTGTTATAGAACTCACTCCATCACTGAACAAAATAATAAATATATATATACAGGGTGAGTCAAAAAAAGTGTGATTTTCGGCACCTGGTACAAAATTGTACCATTTTTTTGCGACTCTCCTGTATAGTTTTTTTTCAATATTTTTTGAAAATTTGTAATTTTTTTTTGGTACTTCAATGGCCCAAAAAAATCCGGGAACCTTTTTTCTCTCAAAATCAAAAGTTTAGAAAAACAAAAATGTGTAAATGAATCGTTTCTATCGAAATCTAAAATTTTAAAAAGATTGAATCGCAGAATCTTAAAAAATTTTCAAAATTGTAATTAGAAAATTCGCAATTTTAAATTCGTACCGGCTTGAAATATCTAAATATGGTTTATGACAGTGACAGGAAATTTGTATTGTAAAAATCTATTTCTAGTTATGCATTTATTGAACAACGATTCCGTCCATTGTTTACAACAAGGGCGTAATGCAAGGAAAGTCAATTGCGGTTGTGTATACTCTGTGTACATATTGAAACCAGCTCTCTCTGGGCGGAATTTGTAAACAATAATAGATGCAGCAGTGTTCGTTTAGTATCCGAGGAGGTTAAAAGCATTAAATTTTGATAATTTTGATAATTCACATTATAGTTTCCTATGACCAGAATATTTCATTGATTTTTTATGTGAAAGATGGATCCAATGTCAGGCTTCGACATCCGTCTTGTGTTTACATTAGCGCCCAGAGACAGTACACTGCAGTACAAAAGATGCGTACACTTCTAAAATAACTTTCCTTGCCGTACATCCTTGGTTTATAATTGCAATAGTATTTGCCTTTGTTTACAATAAAGTTAGATAAGTTAAGTCTATGAATTTAAAAGTTACTAGCCCTGTTCTTATCTTTATAATGTTACTTACGGGCATCCAACAACAAGTATTTGCTCGATGAAGAGAAGATTAGCCCCGGACCAACCGTCATTATGAACAATATATTCTATTTCATCATCTTTATTGTACATAAAGCTAGTGAGGAGGTATTCTCCGCTCTCTACTGTATCAATAGTGTCTCCGTCATCAAAGAACAGTTCTCCTCGAGCCTTTAATCAAATATTCATCAAAATTTTACATTCTTCATAATATGCTTTATATAAACTGTGGAAAAATAAAGACGACAGTTAGAGTTAACCTTAAATTATGATTTTAAATAGTCCAATTAAATTAAAATACAGAAATTGTGCAATGTACACAGACCAATTTCATTTAATAGTTTGATTTAATTTGTTCAAGCTACTGGTAAAACTTTTTGCTTTATCACAACATCAATGTCGTATTCTTATTCCACAGTTTTATGGGTCCGACTGTAGCTATCCATCTTCTGCAAAATAAATTTAAAGAGAAATAACTTCAACTTTAAGTGAACTTCTGTCTAAAGAGAGAAGTTAACAACAGTATCCTGGGTAACAATGTGTTTAACGGGAAATAACTTCAACTTTAAGTGAACTTCTGTCTAAAGAGAGAAGTTAACACCAGTACCCTGGGTAACAATGTGTTTAACGGGAAATAACTTCAACTTCAAGTGAACTTCTGTCCAAAGGGAGAAGTTAACAACAGTACCCTGGGTAACAATGTGTTTAAAGGGATATAACTTCAACTTTAAGTGAACTTCTGTCCAAAGGGAGAAGTTAACAACAGTACCCTGGGTAACAATGTGTTTAAAGGGATATAACTTCAACTTTAAGTGAACTTCTGTCTAAAAGAGAGGTTAACAACAGTACACTGGGTAACAATGTGTTTAAAGGGATATAACTTCAACTTCAAGTGAACTTCTGCCTAAAGGGAGAAGTTAACAACAGTACCCTGGGTAACAATGTGTTTAAAGGAATATAACTTCAACTTCAAGTGAACTTCTGTCTAAAGAGAGAGGTTTGAAACAGTATCCTGGGTAACAATGTGTTTAAATGGTACCGTCGTGAATCGGGTTTTTTATTCTGTAAATTGAAGGTCGTTTAAAATTATGTTGACAGTTCTTTTAAAATCTTTACTCCATTACCTCTCCGTTACGTCCGTTATTGTCCAGAGCAAAAACCAACTGAAATGGGTTGCTTCTACTCAGCGCTGTGTTTACAGCTAAAATAAAACAAATAAAACATTTTTTAATTTTTTTTTATTTATGTTAAGCAAACAATCTAAATCTAACATTATGTAATAGCATTATTTTCAAGACAGAACCCTTAATTCCAAAAATTTTACCCTTTGTGGGTATCTCTGATACTTGATACTCGAAGTACTTGGTACTTGAAGATGAATAAAGTACCTGGTACTTGAAGAGTAATACATGACCTGTTAATTAAAGAGGAATACAGGACCTGGTACTTGAAGAGGAATAGAGTACTGAATACTTGAAGAGGAATACAGTACCTGGTACTTAAAGAGGAATACAGTACCTGGTATTTGAAGAGGAATAAATTACCTGGTACTTGAAGAGGAATAGAGTACCTGAATACTTGACGAGGAATACAGTACCTGGTACTTGCAAAAGAATACAGTACCCATGGTACTTGACGAGGAATACAGTGTCTGGTATTTGAAGAGGAATAGAGTACCTGGTACTTGAGAGAAATAGAGTACCTGGTACTTGAAAAGGAATACAGTACCTGGTACTTGAAGAGGAATAAAGTACCTGCTACTTGAAGAGGAATGAAGTACCTGGTACTTGGATAGGAATAAAGTACCTGGTACTTGAAGAGGAATAAAGTACCTGGTACTTGAAGAGGAATAGCGTATCCCCCTCTAACATGAAGAGGAAGAACATCTAGAGGAGCATCCACCTCAACCCAACCTTTAAAAGGGAAAATTTAGAAAGAACATTTTTCCCGATTTATAAAAAAACAAGAGGAAGAAATTTTTAAATCTAAATGTTCTTTATTTTTAAAGTTGATGGGGTTTAAAGCTGAGGCCCATAAATCTACGGTATTCGAAGACAATTGTTGGACTCAAGTTAAGGTTTTAAATTTAGGTAAACAAACATGTATCAAAGCAATGAGTCAGTGTACAGTGTACAGTGTACACTAGTGTACACTGACCCATTTATAAGTTATTTAATTAAGCTGGGGGTAAAAGATCGCTGGAATATCGTCTTCATATTTCACATTTTTGTTTGTATTTTTTTACAATTGATAATAATAAATGATAGAAATCCCACGATTTCTTTGAGTTATAACTTACCAGGATGTTTAATTCTTATTCTCATTCATTATATTGAAGTTTATTTACCGGAATCTACCTCCTTCCAAGATGTCCAATCCAGGAAGTTTGAAGCTGAAAACCATCTAGATCCTGAAATTCAAGAATTTATGTTTTATTAAATAATTTAGGCCTAGATAATACATTGAGAACGCTTTCTAAGGACTTATATTATCGTACACTGTAATCACTGTACAGTGTACAGGCCTTTTGTGGAATTTTGTATAGACAAATAAATATCAAGGAACTGTTTTACCGTACTTTCAAGTGACCCTCAATGCAAAGACGACAAAGCCCGATTTATATCATCTCATAAGGAAGAAATTTTAATTGATGAGACAAAGCTTTTAATGACACCGTTGTAGTTTGGGCATTGTCATCTCTGCATGAAGATCCAGCTGAAATTTCGCTTACGGTCCCTTTAATCCAGTAAAAATAGAGGAATCGCATTTAATCTAATTTAACATCTATACAGTCCATTTAACATCTATATACAGTCCATTTAACATCTATATAAAGTCCATTTAACATCTATATATATTTCATTTAACATCTAAATACATTCCATTTAACATCTATACAGTCCATTTAACATCTATACAGTCCATTTAACATCTATATATATTCCATTTAACATCTATATATATTCCATTTAACATCTATACGGTCCATTTAACATCTATATACAGTCCATTTAACATCTATACATTCCATTTAACATCTATATACAGTCCATTTAACATCCATACAGTCCATTTAACATCTATATATAGTCCATTTAACATCTATACAGTCCATCTAACATCTATATACAGTCCATTTAACATCTATACAGTCCATTTAACATCTATATACAATCCATTTAACTTCTATATATAGTCCATTTAACATCTATATACAGTCCATTTAACATCTATACAGTCCATTTAACATCTATATACAATCCATTTAACTTCTATATATAGTCCATTTAACATCTATATACAGTCCATTCAAATTCTATATACAGTCCATTTAACATCTATATACAGTCCATTTAACATCTATACAGGCCATTTAACATCTATACAGTCCATTAACATCTACACAGTCCATTTAACATCTATACAGTCCATTTAACATATATATACAGTTATTTTAACATCTATACAGTCCATTTAACATCTATACAGTCCATTCAACATCTACATTTAACATCTATACAGTCCATTTAACATATATATACAGTTATTTTAACATCTATACAGTCCATTTAACATCTATACAGTCCATTCAACATCTACACAGTCCATTCAACATCTATACAGTCCATTTAACATCTATACAGTCCATTTAACATCTATACAGTCCCTTTAACATCAATACAGTCCTTTAAACATCTAAAAAATCCTTGAACCCCTTGACCGATTAGCCTCAAACTTTGAATTGGAAACCTCGTTGGAACTATGAAAGTGAGTTGACTATTATAATGAAATTAGAGGTCCTGAATTCTGATAGGGACTTTAGAACCCATTTTAACATATTCAATACAGATTTTTCGTATTTGCTATTCTATACTTATTTGTGCAATGTATTTTAAACTTGTCGGTTTTGAACGCTAGAACCGTCGAAAATATATTTTCTACGGTTTTTGCACTTAGTTGTCGTTACTTTATGTGTTTTGGTTTTTAAGTCGGGCTCCCAAGTCAGTTTATTATAAAGAAAATGCTTACCAGGAGGAAGATAAATGTTCCTTGAAGTCGCCCCTTGAGTGAGTACTGGGGATATGAGTAGCTGACTACCCCACATAAACTGATCATCTATAGTCCTGGTCAGATTATCTTGAGGGAACTCATGCCATAGAGCTCGAGCAACTGTACTCCCCTGACAAATTCTTTTAAAAGGGATTGTACACGTAATTTCAAGTGGTCTTCCATTTTAAGATTTGGAGTTTGTCTTCCAATCTACAACTGTACCCCTTCAACCTTTATCTCAGCAAAAATTATAGAGTTATCCCTGATTTTTAAATATGAAAATTATAGAGTTATCCCTGTTTTTTAAATATGCAAATTATAGAGGTATCCCTGTTTTTTATATGAAAATTATAGAGTTATCCCTGTTTTTAATATGAAAATTATAGAGCTTTCCCTGTTTTAATTTGAAAATTATAGAGCTTTCCCTGTTTTTAATATGAAAATTATAGAGTTATCCCTGTTTTTAATATGAAAATTATAGAGGCATCCCTGCTTTTAATATGAAAATTGTTTTCAATTACGGTTTACGCCGCGGATTTGTGCAAAAGAGAAAAGTAAGAGAATTAAGATAGAATTAAGTAAGACGAAAAAAAACGACGTTGTCTTCACTAATTCAAAATCAATTAAGTATTAAAAGTTACCGTTGTGCATCGGATATGTAAAACCTTAAATCGAGGGACAATTAAAAATAACGCTGGACACACCCTCTGTATGCGTAGAATTGTTTTGCGAGGGAAGAGGCATTAAAACAGTGTTGAATACTTTAACCTGTATTTAATCTAAAAGTTTACTTTTACAACACTTTGAAAAATTGACTCTGGCAGATCTTTATATATATGTCTGCTTGTTTGTATGCTTCCAATAAAGTTAAGACGGTTGAACAGATGTGGCAATTACGTTTTTTGATAAACCACCAATTTAAACAAAATCCACGAAAAACATTGTTGATCATCATCATTTTTTCAGAAGCATATCAGAGAAAAGTTTTCGTTTTTCTAAAAACAACTTTAATGATCACATTTTTTTTGTTATTTAAAGAAGCCCCGTGACACTAAGTGCTCTTGCACCTTCATCTCTCTGAAAGAATGATCGTCATATCAGAGCAAAGAGCAATTGTTCATGATATTTATCGCGACAATTAGTGTCTGAAGAGACTGTAGACGTAATTTCAAGAGCCCTCCTTTTCTAAAATTCCATATCCGTTTCACAACGTTGCCATAAAAACATCTATCTGATTAAGAATGAATTCTATATATCCTTGTGTTTATGGCTGACAATTTATCATTCACTATTGTGAGTTCTACAAAAGCTATATGAGCATTTATTTAGCAGAGACAATGAAAAAATTGAAATCAAAATTACAAAATCTTCCTCATTTTTACTCAGATAAAGGTTTAAATTATGCCGTTGAGAATCGGACATGCCATGCCATCCTATTCAAAAAGGGTCCTTTAAAATCACGTTGGCAGTCCCTTTAAAATGAAGTTTGTTTAAGTTTGTTAAAAGTACTATATCATGTTATTTGCTTACTTGTGTAAAATCACGTTAACAGTTCCTTTAAAATGAAGTTTGTTTAAGTTTGTTAAAAGTATTATATCATGTAATTTGCTTACTTGTGTATAATCACGTTAACAGTTCCTTTAAGATGAAGTTTGTTTAAGTTTGTTTGTTATTTACTTACTTGTGTATAATCACGTTAACAGTTCCTTTAAGATGAATTTGTTTAATTTTGTTAAAAGTATTATATCTTGTTATTTACTTACTTGTATATAATCACGTTAACAGTTCCTTTAAGATGAAGTTTGTTTAAGTTTGTTAAAAGTATTATATCATGTTATTTACTTACTTATGTATAATCACGTTAACAGTTCCTTTAAGATGAAATTTGTTAAAGTTTGTTAAAAGTATTATATCTTGGTATTTGCTTACTTGTGTATAATCACGTTAACAGTTCCTTTAAGATGAAGTTTGTTAAAGTTTGTTAAAAGTATTAAATCTTGTTATTTACTTACTTGTGTATAATCACGTTAACAGTTCCTTTAAGATAAAGTTTGTTAAAGTTTGTTAAATGTATTATATCATGTTATTTACTTACTTGTGTATAATCACGTTAACAGTTCCTTTAAGATGAAGTTTGTTTAAGTTTGTAAAAGTATTATATCATGTTATTTACTTACTTGTGTATAATCACGTTAATAGTTCCTTTAAGATGAAGTTTAATAAAGTTTGTTTAAAGTATTATATCTTGTTATTTGCTTACTTGTGTATAATCACGTTAACAGTTCCTTTAAGATGAAGTTTGTTTAAGTTTGTTAAAAGTATTATATCTTGTTATTTACTTACTTGTGTATAATGTGAATAGAAGAGGGTGTACAAATAAGGAAGAAGATTGTATCTTATGTTTAAAGCATCTCGAGTAATTCTTAAAAATCATAAAAATTATTGACATTTCTAATTTTAATTTAAAATGTCAAAAAACAATTTTCTGAAATTAATACGACTTACAGAGCAATCTCCTCCCCAAAGAACCCTGGATCCTGTTCAATATTCCCCAATCCATTGTGATTCCTAAACAACAAAATAAAAAATTATTTAAAAGACGACTGCGTGAAATGAATTTTATTTCTGGACTCGTAGTTCTCCACGGCTTAATATCTTTATATGTTTCAGAGAGTAGATAAAATTAATCCAGCCTTTATATCGTCATTTTTACGAAATTCAAATCTTTAATAAAGTTTCAATGGATCCTATATACCTAGAGATTGGATCCTATATACCCAGAGATTGGATACTATATACCTAGAGAATGGTTCCTAAATATCTAGAGAATGGATGCTATATGCCTAAAAAAGGATCCTATATGCATAAAGAATGGATGTTATATACCTACAGAATAAGTCCATACCTGAAGAATGGATCCTACATACACACAGAACTTATGCTATATACCTAGTGAATATAAACTATTTACCTAGAGAATGGATGCTATATACCTATAGAATGGATGCTATATACTTAGAGAATATAAACTATTTACCTAGATAATGGATCCTATGTACCTAGAGAATGGATGCTATATACCTAGAGAACGGATCCTTTATACCTAGAGAACGGATCCTATATACCTAGATAATGGATTATATGTACTGTATGTAGAATTTATACTACATAGAGAATTGATGCTATTATCCTAGAGAATGGATCCTACCCAGGGGGGATGATTACTTCTCTACCTGTGTGCTCAGTTAACTGTACTTTACACTTACAACTTTTTACTAATATTTATATAATATAGGTTAAGCCAGAATCAACTTATAATAAACAAATATGCAGTACTCTCTCGGTATATTTCCTGGCCTATAAAATTAGTAAAGAATTAGCATACATCATCAGTCTATACACAATAACCTCGTTGATCCTACCTAGAGAATGGATCCATCCTGGAGCATGGATCCTACCTGGAGAATAGATCCTACTTCGAGAATAGATCCTACCTAGAGAAAGGATCCTACCTTGAGATTAGATCCTACCTAGAGAATAGATCCTACCTAGAGAAAGGATCCTACCTCGAGAATGCATCCTACCTAGAGAAAGAATCCTACTTGAAGAAAGAATCCTACTTGAAGAAAGAATCCTACTTGGAGAAAAGATCCTACCTGGAAAATGGATACTATCTGGAGAAAGGATCCTACCTGGAGAATTAATACTTCCTGAAGAAAGGATCCTACCTGGAGAATGGATAGAAAGCTCCAAGCTGCTGCCATCTACTGCACAGCTCTGGAGTAGTATCATCAATAAATCCACAAATATCTGCTCCAACAAATGGGATACCAAACTAAACCATCAAAAAATGAAGTTGTTTTGGTTTTCTGAGCCCGAAATTTAAGACAGAGTATAGTAATGAAACTCGGTTTCGAAAACTGATTCTGATTTCTTAAATAAAATTCTACTCAAATGGATAGACCCCATAATGGAAACTCGGGAGTTTCGTTCGACGATACTCACATAAATTTCGGGCTCTGGTATGTTTTCACTGTAAACTACAATAAGGTATGTAACTCGTGATAATATAATTTGTATCGCAACATATTCCGTGCATTGTATTTGAATTCTTTAAAGTTTGCAGATGGTCATGAAGCTACTGGTTCGGACATCCTTCTTTTTGTTTTTAATTTTTGATTTGGTTTTCATAAAATTCTTAAACATATTAACATAACAAAGACGAATTTGTCAGTTTAAAGGGACTTGAGCGTAATCTCAAGTAACGTTCAACTTGAAGGGCATCGTTTCCTTTAAAACTTTAACTGATCAAAGATGACAGACTTATTTATCTATTGAAATACTTTGTTGCAAGCTGTTCTATATTTAAGGAATATTATTATTTACTTCCTAGAACTGGCAGAGTGAATCGGATATGTCCCACTATGGAATTACGTCTACAGTTCCTTTAAGTTTGAATACCTGGTTGAATTGAAGCATACCAATTACTGAAGCTCTAAGATTACTCCAGTTTGAGAAATTATCTCCCAACCAATGAGCAACCCATCTTCCTGATCCAACAAAGGTTGATCGACTCAATACTAGACCACGCTTTCCTACCACCATATGCAGTGAAAATAGAATATTGAGAATGTTTGTTAATTTCAATGGTGGTATTTGAGGGTAAATTTCAAGTATTTCGAATATTCTTTTAATCTTTAAAGTAACAGAATAGATGAAGAAAAAATGTTCAGTAAAATTTACTGCATAATCTTCCCTGTCGCTTCTCTGACCCCGTTCAGAGTTGGTTTAGATTGAAACCATCCAAACATATTATGCAGATCATAATGATCCCCTGAACAAAACATATTATGCAGATCATAATGATTCCCTGAACAAAACATATTATGCAGATCATAATGATCCTCTGAATAAAACATATTATGCAGATCATAATGATCCCCTGAACGAAACACATTATGCAGATCATAATGATCCCTTGAACAAAACACATTATGCAGATCATAATGATCCTCTGAACAAAACATATTATTTATCAGTTGTTTAAGTATACCTGTAGCATGAACGGCATCTCCGCAAATTGTTTTATCAGCGAGACCATTTTTAGCATCGTCAATACGGACCTATTGGAAATAAATATACAATCACTAGAAATTCAAGGCGCTTCGCGCCCATCTTCTAAATTAGTTGTGAACATGTTCTCTTTGTGTACATCGTAAAACAAAACAAAAATAATTCGCGGATTTTTACAAAAAATTTCGCGGATTTTCAAAATTTTTAAAAATTTAATGACGAACGAATTTTGATAGAGACAAATATTTGAAATTTTGATTTTTCATATCATTCATTTCAAGTAAAACTTCATTCTTCCCAAGTATTCATTTGCTTGTCATAAAGAATGTTATCCCAGCTCACCAAATACAGAGTTTCCCACGAGACATGACAGTTCAGAGACGACTTAATGATTGTCTTTGGTCTTTAAAATAATTCGCGGCATTGATTTATCAAGAATAATTCTCGAAACAAAAATCACAAAATTCCCGTAGTCCTTCAAATATCAAAGACGATCTTCAAGGCGTCTCTTTACTGTCTTGATTCGGGGGACACCCTGTATTTAAATATTACATGAGGAAGGTATGGAGGGTAGTTGGTAGCAGTAGCAGCACAGCCCTCGTTTAAATCTCCAGCCACAAAGTTTGCAGGTTCATTCATGTCTATCCAGAGACCATCAAAATCAATCAGGTCATGGAACTCTTAAAATAAGAATATAGTTGCTACATCTAAAAGTAAGAATATTTAGTTGCTAAACCTTAAAATAAGAGTATAGTTGCTACATCTAGAACTAAGAATATTTAGTTGCTAAACCTTAAAATAAGAGTATAGTTGCTACATCTAAAACTAAGAATATTTAGTTGCTAAACCTTCAAATAAGAGTATAGTTGCTACATCTAAAACCAAGAATATAGGAGTATAATTGCTACATCTTAAACTAAGATTATTTAGTTGCTAAACCTTTTAAATAAGAGTACAGTTGCTACATCTAGAACTAAGAATATTTAGTCGCTAAACCTTAAAATAAGAGTATAGTTGCTACATCTAAAACTAAACCTTAAAATAATATCTTAAAACTAGAATATATAGTTGCTAAATCTTAAAACAAGAATATATAGTTACTAAATCTTAAAACAAGAATATATAGTTGCTATATCTTAAAACAAGAATGTGTAAATGCTATATCTTAAAACAAGAATATATAGTTGCTATATCTTAAAACAAGAATATTTCATTCTGAACCTTTCAAAATGGGTAATGTTGCTGTTACCTCTTTAAACCTTAATACAGTGAAACCCTTAATAACGAATACATCGGAAGAATTTATCAAATGTCGTCTTGACAATTTTTCAATTTTTCAAAACTAAATATCTGCAACATTCCATTATCAGAAAGTGAAGAATACGACATTTGATGAATTCTTTCGATGTATTCGTTATTAAGGGTTTCACTGTACAAAAATGCATATTCTGCTAACCCTTTTTTTAAATTTTAGAGCTGTAAGAGATTTGCTTAATTTACTTAATTGCATAATTAACTCCAAAAACTGTATTAAATATGTAAACATGTCAGCAATCTTATTAAAAACTAGAATAGTTAGTTGCGAAATCTTACCTTTAATGAGTATCTGCCACCACTCATGGGTTCTAAAATACATTTCAAGTAATTTAAAAGTATCATTATGAATGTCGTCTTTGTTCCACCAGTGCTGATTTCTGGAGTTTTCTGTCCTCTTGCAGGGTGATAATTATACCAAATACGTATTTAATATGTTTTTTAAAAACTGGATTACCTTAGATTAGTGTAGTCAGGGAAGTAAACAGGATCATTAGGCCATACTCTTCCTAAATAAACATTATAAACAGGATCATTAGGCCATACTCTTCCTAAATAAACATTATAAACAGGATCATTAGGCCATACTCTTCCTAAATAAACATTATAAACAGGATCATTAGGCCATACTCTTCCTAAATAAACATTATAAACAGGATCATTAGGCCATACTCTTCCTAAATAAACATTATAAAAAAAAAGAAGCTTAATAGTCAATTATAACAATCGATTAACCAGAGCAGGATGCGTTCCGTTTCTTTTTTGAATTAAGTCGCGTGTTGGTCATAATTTAACAATCTTTTAACCTATGGATTCTGCTTAATCATGCAAATAGTCATAAGTGAGACATGGTTGAACTACGAAGACGTGGTTCAACCACTTCTCTTATTCTTGAACCGGTTTTACTGCATCTGTTCGGTTCAACTGATTCATCAAATCTGGTTTCTAAAGTATTGTTTTCTTGATATCAGAGTCAATGCTTGATCTTGATCTTCTGTTAATCTAAAGGTTAATTTTTTATCCTTACTTGTCAATCAGATATCCAGTAAACTGCTATAATCAGATATCCAGTAAACTGCTATAATCAGATATCCAGTAAACTGCTATAACCAGATATCCAGTAAACTGCTATAACCAGATATCTAGTAAACTGCTATAACCAGATATCCAGTAAACTGCTGTAATCAGATATCCAGTAAACTGCTATAACCAGATATCCAGTAAACTGCTATAACCAGATATCCAGTAAACTGCTATAACCAGAAAGCAAGGAACCTTGAGTTCAACCAGTAAGAGAATAGATACACAAAATCAAGAGATCAAGAAGATTCTGCTTAAAATTCAAAAGTGTCCACGGTGGATCTCGAGATTATGGATATCCAACAGTATTCAACACAACACTTCCCAGCTCAGGGGAATCTTCCTTGATACATCTATGGAATCCGTTATATTACCTATAAGTGGTTCCCCATTGGGTTTATTAATCCAAACTCCAAACTGTTCTCCAAGATCATATGGTTTATACGTACAGTTTGGTTCTCCAATACTAATACAAGGGTCAAGGATCGTTACAAACCTAAACCAATATATATTATAGATTTAGTTTAATCAGATTGCTAAAATTATTTTTAAATGGATTGTTCACTTATTTTAAAATAACTTCAGACCTTAAAGATACAATTTTTAAGAATGTACTTCTTCAATTTAAGACTTTTTTAAAACTTTGAAAGATTGATTCTTTTGGGGATAAGACCAATTTACACAAAAACATGTGCATAGACTCAGTACACTTTGGTCTCTCATCATCGGCTAGATTTGGTTCATCAACCAATCAGATAAAAGTAGAAACAAGAACGTGGTAAAATATCGCTCAGTTGTAAACATGTTTACCTAACACCTTCCTCCTTGATCACTCTAACATATTCAGCAAGTCCTCCAAATCTCTCAGCATCAATTGTAAAATCTAAATATTTCGATTATAAAAATATAAGGAAACTTCAACCAGGAGCTATGATAGTCAACATGTAAGATTTCCATCTAACATAAAATTTGTGGTGGGAAATGAATCATGTTTATGTATAATCGTTTTTTTTACTTAAAGGGAGTATTCGCGAAAAAATGGGGGTTTAGGCTTACGGCATTATATAATCGCTTTTGATAGCCACTAAAATTACTTCTATCTGTTGCGTCTTTAAGGAGACAATTGTTAAAAACGACTTGTACCAAAGAACATAGTGTCCATACATAGCTACCAAAACACGTTTAATTGTTTAACACATTGTTTGCAAGCTGTTTTAAGTTTTAAAATTATTAATATTCACTTTTTAAATATTGAAAAAATAAATATTTTCGGTTGACATTTTGGAAACTGCTCTTGATGTAAAATATTCAAGAGATTTCAACATTTTCACATCTCTTTACTCGATGAACAATCAACGGTTCGAAGGTAACCGTTGTAAATTATGCAATGCTGAATCCATATCTACCACCTTTACAGAAAATACCAGATTTAATCGTTTTTACCTAATTGTCTTTCCATGATGTCAATATCTCCCCATTGAGCATCTTGAGGTATCTTGTACATAACCATCCTATCCCTAGCAGCCTAGTCAAATATAGTTTAGAGGAGATATCTTATACATAACCATCCTATCCCAAGCAGCCTAATCAAATATAGTTTAGAGGAGATATCTTATACATAACCATCCTATCCCTAGCAGCCTAATCAAATATAGTTTAGAGGAGACATCTTATACATAACCATCCTATCTCTAGCAGCCTAATCAAATATAGTTTAGAGGAGATATCTTATACATAACCATTCTATCCCTAGCAGCCTAATCAAATATAGTTTAGAGAAGATATCCTTTTCATAGCAGACTGGATAGATGTGATATATGTAAACACTGATTTATCAGACCCGGAGCCTGCCTGTTTAAGAATATCAAACCTTCTGGCTTTATTAATGTTAAAACTAGTCCATGATTTGATGGTTTAAACACATAACTGCAAAATAAAATTTCCAAGGTATATAACGTTGTTCTGTATCTGAACCCATTATTTCACTGACATTTTGTTCTGTTGAAAAACAAACACATTTTCCCATTTATAAGACTGAGGTTTTTTTAGGTTAGGGATTGTGCGCTGCGTCTAGGACAACTAGCAAATAATATTTTTCTTTAGAAAGGTAAATAATGTCGAAAATGCTACAACAATGTTGAAACTTGTGCTGGGAATGATTAAAGTACATTAAAAAAGTTTTTATTTTATCATTATTTCACCTGCATATTTTCCAAACTATCATATCCATATCTACAAAGATGAAACCCTAAGCTCCAGTAGGGGGGAATAGGAGTCCGACCTATTGCCTAAAAAAAATCTTTAATCCAAAGCCATGATATTTCTTTATTTATGTGTGCTGTTTATCTCGACAAATCAAGTACTAATTAACATAGGCACAACAAAAAAAAATGATTATTATTTCACGCAAAATAAAATCCTCCCCCCCCCCCCCATAAAAATATCCCGATTGCGCCTCTGATACTTACCCCTGTATATTGTTGAACCACGGATTCCGGTGAAGGACCAAGAAAAATATAAACATCTAAAAGACCACCTGTAACAAAATCATGTAAATCTTGAGAAAAAAATAGGAATTTACCAAATAAATTTTAGAATGTTCCCCCTTCGTTCTTACCGATAGTTCTGTATATTGCTCCAGGCATAGGAGTCAGTGAAATCTCCTAAAATATCATTAAGTCATATAAATCTTAAATCTATAGTTTTAGACTACAGATAATGAGTATAACTGTGATTACTTTTGGTTTCTATAATTTTTATATTTTTATATCATTTAACAATAAAGGGTTGATGAGACTAAGGAAACTGGATCAAAACCTTGATCGGGATTTTTCCGTACATTCCTGGTTTCCTGAAGCTAGACTGCATTGTTTTTATTCTAAACGTTTTAGGTCTTTATTTTTTAGCTAACCCTGCCGTACGTTGCTAAACCCCTGTGCAATACACAAAATATTATTAACAAAATTATTTAAAACCTGGGCCGCAGAATTTAAGAATAGAAGTCCTGCTGTATCACCATTCTTATCCAGTATAGTTAGTCTAGGGTGGACACCGTACATGTTCCTGTACATTAATAGTATAGTAAGTCTAGGATGTACACCGCACATGTTCCTGTACATATATAGTATATGGTAAGTCTAGGATGTACAACGCACATGTTTCTGTACATATATAGTTTAGTTAGTCTAGGATGTACACCGTAAATGTTCCTGTACATATATAGTGTATAGTAAGTCTAGGATGTACAACGTACATGTTCCTGTACATATATAGTACAGTTAGTCTAGGATGTACAACGCACATGTTCCTGTACATATATAGTATATAGTAAGTCTAGGATGTACAACGTACATGTTTCTGTACATATATAGTTTAGTTAGTCTAGGATGTACACCGTACATGTTCCTGTACATATATAGTATAGTTAGTCTAGAATGTACAACAAACATGTTCCTGTACATATATAGTATAGTTAGTCTAGAATGTACAACAAACATGTTCCTGTACATATATAGTACAGTTAGTCTAGGATGTACAACGTACATGTTCCTGTACATATATAGTATAGTTAGTCTATGATGTACAACGAACATGTTCCTGTACGTATATAGTATAGTTAGTCTAGGATGTACAACGTACATGTTCCTGTACATATATAGTATAGTTAGTCTAAGATGTACACCGTACATGTTCCTGTACATATATAGTACAGTTAGTCTAGGATGTACACCGTACATGTTCCTGTACATATATAGTATAGTTAATCTAGGATGTACACCGTACATGTTCCTGTACATATATAGTATAGTTAGTCTAGGATGTACACCGTACATGTTCCTGTACATATATAGTATAGTTAGTCTAGGATGTACACCGTACATGTTCCTGTACATATATAGTATAGTTAGTCTAGGATGTACACCGTACATGTTCCTGTACATATATAGTATAGTTAGTCACTCCCTTTTAATTTGTTGAATGTCCTATTAATTTGGAGACAACCCCTTTAACTAGTGTATTACGTTGTATCTGATGGAATCATGGGGGTTGGTCTCTTCTGTACAAATTATAATTTGCAGACAACCCCTTTAATTTGCAGACTATCCCTTTAATTTGCAGACTACCACTTTAATGAATGTGTTACGTTCCGTCTGATGATGGGGGTTGGTCCCTTCCGTACATACCAAATGTATAATTTGCAGACTACCCCTTTAATAAATGTATTACGTTGCTCCTGATGGGGGTTGGTCCCTTCCATACAATCCGAATGTATTCCAGTTCATATCATGGGAAAAACTAAGCTGCTCGTTTTCACCTAAATAATATATTCTTTTAAAAGAAATATTATAATAACGAGCGATATAAAAAACGGAATATTCTAATAAAAATGAAGAAAGTCAGAAAAAGCAAGGAAAGTCATATTAATACTGATAATTGATATTTTCTTGTTATCTAATTAAAAGTATTACCACTGACCCAAATATATTGTCAAGTACGATGGCAACATAGAATTTGTACACTCTCAGTACAGCTGTATTCTTACGCCAGTGTCAACTCAGTTTTTGAGTCCCACAAAATCATTAATAATAATGATAATTTTAGAATTAAGTGCGTATCTTACAGTGAAATAAGTGCAATTACATGAGTTCTTTATTTTCTGTTTTTGCACTTTTTTATTGAATCTTTATGTCAACTAATGTGAGAAAATTTCGTTTTCCTTGTTATATTTGACACTTGTGACGTCGTGTATCATTGGTCCATTTCTCTGTTGCCACCTATTGTACTTGATAATCTATTTGCACTGACCAGACATATGAAAAAGATAAAACAATAACTAACTATACTGTACAAAAATTCAAGTCAGCAAGTGTTTAAAACGACTATGTTGAAAATGGATTAATATCTTTAAATAACAACAGTTATAACATTAACTTTATTTTCTAGATGATGATCTGAACTTGAACTTTTGAATTGAAAGAAAGAGTTAACCTTTATTCTAATGAAGTTTTACTTAATCCCTTCATTTGCAGTTTCATAAATTTTCGCCTTACAAAATAGATGCAAATATTAGATCTGTAGGTTTAAATTCCGCCTTTTAAAATGAGTCCAAAATATTAGATCTGTATGTTTAAATTCCGCACTACAAAATGGGTCCAAATATTAGATTTGTACGTTTAAATTCCGCATTTTAAAATGAGTCCAAATATTAGATCTGTACGTTTAAATTCCGCACTAAAAAATGGGTCCAAATATTAGATCTGTAAGTTTAAATCACGCCCTACAAAATAGGTCCAAATATTAGGTCTGTACGTTTAAATTCCGCTCTACAAAATGGTACCAAATATTAGGTCTGTACATTTAAATTCCGCCCTACAAAATGAGTCCAAATATTAGGTCTGTACGTTTAAATTCCGCCCTAAAGAATGGTTCCAAGTATCAGATTTTTACGTCGAAATTCAGCCCTACAAAATGGGTCCAAATATTAGATTTGTACGTTTAAATTCAGCCCTACAAAATGGTTCCAAATATTAGATTTGTACGTTTAAATTCCGCCCTACAAAATGGGTCCAAATATTAGATCTGTACGTTTAAATTCCGTCTAACAAAATGGGTCTAAATGTTAAGTTTGTACATTGAAAATATGCCCTGAAAAATGAGCCCAAATATTAGGATTAAGCTCTAAAAAATAAGTGGTCTCACCCCAACCATAAAGATTAGATCCTGTGGGTAGCCGGATAGGTAGCTGGATAAACTGATCAGAGAAAACCAGCCCAGGTAATGACGTATCTAAATATTAATGGTGTTTCATGTATCTCGATATGGATTCAAAAGTCTTAATCTCAAAATTTAGGTATCTAAACATTGCATTTTTGGAGTTAATTGTAATTGACAATAAAGTTTTTATTTTATTTTTCGACAAATCTGTTTCCTTAATTCTTTTACGTTCCATTTTTTTGCAAGGTAATCTCTTTTAATTTCAGTCTTTTGTCATTTACTGTTTTAAAATAAAGGGTTCTTTTCTAATTCAGTTTCTGTCATTTCTTCTTTTTCTTTTATGAGTAATTTTTTTGCCAATTACTCTATTGTGATTTAAATACAGTCACAATCAGAAAACTGTGGAATAGGAGGACTACATTATATTATTTCTGAAGTGCATTTGATCTTGTTTAAAGCAAATAGCATTACTTGAAAGTTACTAAATTACTTATTAAGTAAAATGGGTCTATTTACATTGCAAAATTGCTGTGCGTCATGTTCAATGTGCTATTAAAAGTCAAAACTTGAATTTAACAGTTGAATTCCTATTTCAGAGTTCTCTGGTTATCACTGTATTGCCAGTTATTTTTGGGTGATTTAGTTGTTCGGTGATTATAGTTTGTTTACCAAGGACCAGCTCCCCGCTAGATCTTCTATTCACTCTGATTCCGAAAGTAGGAGAAGAAGTGAAGCTTACTGTATACTCAGGGTTGGAGGGCATACCACCAAGAGAAGGAATTTCTTCAAACACAGACAATAAAATCCGTTTTTAATAACTATCAATTAAAATTTTGTACTATTAATGATAAAAATATCTATGTTTATTGTGTTTGTGTTTCCTATTGGAACTTGAAATCTAGGTTTGTCATCTGTGATAAGAATTCTACAACATGGGACATATTTAATCACAGTTTTTCAAACCGCGCGCCAGTGAAATATAAATCTAGAAGTCAAACTTATGTTGCCATTATTCTTATCTTCTTTCGTCCTCTTCAATATTCTGTGGTTGGAACCAATGGCATCCATAAAATCGACCGGATCAAACACATTATTCTAGAATTTAAAAATTGCCACATTGGATCAGGATCAAGCGTTGTACAAGATTAGCGCTATGTCACACAAAAGTTTTGACCTTGAAATTGGTGTCGGGTAGAATCCAAGTCTGAATGTATAAAAAATGCTATAAATATGTTCCTAAGTCTGTTATCTGTCTGGAAGAAGACTTGAACCCACAGATCTTGCGATTCACCTAAAAATATTGTCATTTTACATAAGTTTTAGTCTTTTTAATTAAGTTTATGTCATTACGTCATTTTACATAAAGGGAATGGTGACAAAAATTGAGAAGTGTGTACTGTGTAGGATGATGCATAGAACAGTTAGCCTTATCTATGGTACTTGTGGAGCTCTATCCATTAAAACTTGATATAAAACGTCCTCATCAGGCCCAAACTTAAATGAAAAGACGGAGGTACCTCTTTAGGATTTAAGAAAAAGGACGGGTTACATAAACATAAACATAGGATCAAATTAAAATTTGCCAAAGCAGCCTACTTATACCTATATTATTATTCTATTTGGATGAAAAAATAAACAGAACTACGAATAAACAGAACTACGAATAAACAGAACTACGAATAAACAGAACTACGAATAATTTTTAATTTTTTTACGAATAACCTCCAAACATAGGAAGAGAAACTGATCTTCTGAGATGAACCATATATCCATCATGGGTTTCTGCTGGCTCATCCAACATCATATATCCATATCCTAAATATTTCTATATATCCAAAGATTCCTATAACTATATATCTATATGTATCAAAATATATCCATACATCCAATATCCATATATCCAAATATATTTGGATATATACCCATATATCCATATCTTCCTTTATCCTGATATCACTATATCCACATATATTTGGATATATACCCTATATCCATATATCCCTAACTACCTGTTGGATAGTAGCACCAGGGTGCTCCCCCCTCCTCCTCCACAATTTCATAAAAACAACCTCGACTCTCACACTTTTCTCTACAATAATAAAACATTTTAAAGGAATTATAAATGTTTAACTGATTACTTGCTTTAAACTCAAATTTTTGCATTTTCAAATCCTTGCAACCCCAAGTAGAACCTAAAGTAAAGGATGTACATAAAAAAGGTTCCCAGTTACATTTTATATTCTAGAGCTCTCAATATTGGCAATACAATCTTGTAAATTCATATTTACCTAATATTGGTTATTATTAAACTATTGCATGCAAAAAAATCGGATTTGGAGATTATTTTTTTGTTGTTTTTGGACATCTGCGACCCGGCGTTGAAAATTGCAGCTGCCAGCTAGATGGACAGTAGACACATAGACTCTATCAACATTCTGAACTCTACAAAGGTTCTTATTTGTGTCCATCTAATTCTTCTCTTTAGAGATGTTTCTCTTCATGGTTGGTAGGGCAGGGATTGTACTGTTCTCTTTTTGATTTTGATTTTGAGGTTTCAGTCACTAAGGAAAGGTTCAGCTGATACTTAGCTGAGCTTATTACTCTATTTTCACTGTAAACATATAAAAGCTTTTTATTTTCATATTCATGATAAGGATTTTCGCCATGCTTCCTTTAAATGTCTTTATCACTTAATGAACACCTGAACATGAGAGGAAATCTTTCTTGTTTTGTTAGGATATTTCCTTGGATTGGGTCTGAAATATCTAAATAAGCCTTTCTTCTACTCTCTTCCAAATGCTTAGACAAATAGCGACATGACTTCATAATTTTTCTTTTGGCGAATATATGCTTATTAAAGATTCTTAAGATTATGATTTAAAAACCTGGCAATCAGTATTCGGCTTGAAAAACGTTTTGATACTTTCACCATGTTGGCAAATGGAATCATCTCAACGAAGTCACATTTTGAAATTTTTAAGCCTTTTTTTGATACAGGATTGGTTAGCTTGATATTCATATAGATTTACATAAATTAGAGAAGAAGTGGTAGGTAGGAACCTTTTTTAATTTAAACCCTTTACAAGCCCTTGATATTACAAACTATAAATTTATCAATCTAGTTTGGGGTTTCCTTAGTTTTCTTTCTTTCTTTCATTTTAATTTTATTCAAATTAATCCAAAGTGGTGACCTGCTAACATCTGGTTCAGGATGGCAATCTATACGCTCAGCTACACTCAGAGCTCCCTCTGAAAAAGATCATTTAAAATAAATTACGCGCCAAAAATTATCAAACTTATAATCCCTATATATTTGCAACCTGAAATTGTATTGATAACAGGTCGCAAAGCTATTAGGATTTAAAGAATAAAGATTGAGTTTATAAAATCCCTGATATAAAGAAAAAACTATTTTACCTTCTGTGAGAGGTTCAACAATAGAGATATTATTGCTAAAGTGACAGTTTTCCCTGAAAACAAATTCTTGGATGAAAATTAATTTTGCTACTACTCACTTCTCACTTCTCATGGATCCCAGTGAATCCATCATATTAACAAGTTGCTGCAGGGTTGAAAACTTGACCAAAGATACTTGACAAATTGGACATCAAATTTTACGTCTTTTTATAAAATCAAGATCATTTTTGGCTTTGTAACCTTATTAAATTATATCAACAATAAAAATCGCAATGCATAGATAGTATATAACGTAATGAATTACAAAGATTATATAATTTTAAGCATAGCAACTTATATCTAAAAGATAAGTTGCATACTGTAAACTGTACAGTGCACACCTCATGATTCTCATGTACAGTTCAATTTCAATAGCGTAGATGTAATTTCAAGTATCCTCTTATTAAAGAGTTGTACGGTCCCTTCTTATCTGAGCAACAATGAGGAAGATAGCATCGTTTTTCTATCTTAAAACATGTTAAATTCTGTTAATTTCCTCCTTTGTTTTTGCTGCATAATTCCACAAGTCCCTTTAATTGAGAAACCAGAGTTTGATAAAACGCTATAAAACCTTGTTTACATTTTTCAGACTAAGCCGTTTGAAAGAATAACGTGAATCAACTCTTTAATTGCAGATTAACTTGAACTTATGCCGACAGTCCCGTTAAATTATATATCTGCTGATCAAGAAATATACCCTGTCACAAGAATAAACAGTGGGACGAAGAGAAAACATTTTGCTCCTTCCCAAACCATCTGAAATAAATATTTTTAATTTAATTTAATTTTTAAAAATAAATTTTCTTTTGTGTTATATTTTAAGCTGAACCATCATGCAATATTATTTTGTATTTTGTGTTTGAAAATAAATACTATAACTATAACTATAATAATATTTTTTTTATGATTTTAACTATAAGTTTAATATGGTATAATAGGAAGATCTGTGTTCACTGTTTTCTTTAAACAGATTAAAGATTCTAACAGAAAAAAATCTTAAATTTTTTAGTCCTTAAACATTTGACTAGCCTGTTTGTACCCGAAAAATGTCAAAACGACTAAACAGGAAAAGTGTCTTATATGAACCTAGAAGATTAAAAAATGTCCGGTTCTGGTCAAACATATACTTCACTCAACAAGAATGGGTTCACACCCTTTGCTAATGGTAGATGTCAAAGTCTACTACAGTCAACAAGAATGGGTTCACACCCTTTGCTAATGGTAGATGTCAAAGTCTACTACAGACAACGAGTATGGGTTCACACCCTCTGCTAATGGTAGATGTCAAAGTCTACTACAGTCAACAAGAATGGGTTCACACCCTCTGCTAATGGTGGATGTCAAAGTCTACTACAGTCAACGAGAATACATTGCTATGTATTTAGAAGTTCAATGAATGCATTCCTGAAAATGTTTTGATTATTTAAGTGCTGACTAATTAACTACTTGTAAATGCACAATTAATGTATATTTAGTTGAGATTTCAATATGTATAGTTTGTTTCAACAAATACCGTAATACGATCAAAACAAAATTATCAAACATTATTTTTTTATTTGGCTCATAATAAATTTTCTTTTGTGTTTTATTTTAAGCTGAACCATCATACATTATTATTTTGTATTTTGTGTTTGAAAATAAACACTATAACTATAACTATATTGAATATAAATTTTGAAAGTTCACTTATCAAAGCTGCGTTATATACGACAATTGGTTAAATAATCTTCTCTAGAAAATGCTTTATGACATGAAAATATTTAATCTATGCTCTCAGGAACGAGATAATGGAGGAGTAATGAGAGATAAGGAACTGTGAGATAAAATATATTATCTCAAGTTTAATTTTCTAGTTTTCTTATCTTCCTTTGCTTTAAAACATGCGATCAACGTGACTATTGTTAGATTTGTGCATTGTTTGAACAAATAGCATTATCTAGGAAAGCAACTAAAAACATTAAATTAATTAAAATTATACATTGGTAGAATTCTTTCTTTTCAAAGACAACCATGGCCCAAGAAAAAGCCAATTTATTATGCAGAATTCCAGCGCAAAGGTATGATACCTTTGCATTTACAATTGTATTTAATTTTTTTTAATTATCTTTAAATTGTCTTAACTATAACTTATTTTAAACATTTGAAAGATTGATACGTTTCCCTACTTCCACAGGAATCCCCGAGTTGGAATCTAGAAACCGGTGTGACGGAGAGAGAAGGTCGTCTTTGTATGAGCGTGTTGATTTGTTTGAAAACGAAAAACATTTATATCTTGCTAATTCTAAAATGAAAAGTTTTTATATTTTTTATGTAATGGCTGACACATTATGTCATTGAAATATGATAATTTTAGATTTGATTGTGCTGTTGTTACTGAAAAAAACGTTTAAGCAGTGTCTCTGCAAAGGTATCATCCCTTCCGCTGGAATTCTGAACGATAAATCGGCTTTTGCTCTGGTCAATGGTCATATATATCCATAGATAAATAAATTAACATAGATAGCTTATGTACGCAAAATCACCAAGAATTGTACAGTCCGAGAACTCATACTTCTAGGGGTCAAAGTGTACTTCAATGA